TTTCTTGGCCCTGAACAAAGTCGCACTGTGTGAGGGGTACATGAAGCAAGGACAGAGGGCAGGCGTCTAACGCGGGGCAGAGTCGTGCCGGAGAAAGAGAGTTGGGAGAGGCGGGCTGTGATCCAGCTGCCGAGGCCTCACCAGCCTCAGTGGTCGCAGATCCTGCGCAGGGGCCAGGGGTGGTGGGGGGAGCCGCAGGCACGCCTTCCACTCGCAAGCTTCCTTCCCGAAGACGCCCCTGCGTAGAGCAGCCCGGGGCTCGCTCTGACTTCTCCCTCCCGTGATTTCTGGTTCTTAGGGTTTAGAAGGTGTATTGTCTGATCGATCGTTTCGGATGAGACTATAATCCACAAAAGTTTCGCCTCAAGTTAGAAGAGAGGGAAACTTCTTGGTCGAGATTTTTAAAGATAGGATGTGAAGGTTTAGACTACTTACAGATAATTTTTTTCCCTGAAGAAAATATTCTTCCCATATTTTGGCCGATTTTTCCAGGAGGCAGTAGTTAAGAACTGATGAAGTTAGTAGGAAGCTTTCTGTAATTGTTCCATACTTTGCTTAATTAACTTGATGTGCTTTATTCTAGCTTTTTTATAGCTGATAGTAAATAAATATCTTTAGATTTTGATATCTTGATTATATCAAAATGGTTGTATGTATAATAGTTAAACACAGTTGTTCCAGAGAGACACTCTGTTGGCTTTAACTCACAGGACTGGGTGCATCTTGTGTTTCCGTTTCGTTCTCTATGAAATGCATGTCGTTGTTACACTAGTATCATGTCTGCGTCATGGGGGCATGAAGGGGGTTGTTCACGCATGAAAGCCGTGAGGTCACACAGGGCCTGCTGAGCGAACGTGAGCGTCGGGCAGCCGCCGCTGCTGACAGCTCACAGCTAATGGTGGTGGTTTGCTGATGGTGGTTCACCAGCGGTTTCTTCCACGTGTGGATTTTGATAGAAACCACACACACGCACGCATACATTTCCTTAGTCTAATTAGTGTGCGGAAACCTGAATAGAGCGAAACAAAGGTCTGAGCCTTTCTACACTGAAGTGCCCGAGGGTTCAAAGGTGCGCACAGCCCGTCCCTCGTGTGTGGGCCTCGCTGACGCCTCCAGAGCAGGACCCCGACCGCACGCAGCGCCCGGTGGGCCTGGGGCAGTGTGGGGCAGGCGTGCGCAGGCCAGCTCTTCCCTGGGCAGGTCCCTCAGGGTCCCAGGCTGCGGCCCCTGCACGTGAAAAGTCACTCTCGGTCCCAGGAGCTCTGACCACCCAGACGGGCCCCCACCATGCCCACGCCACGGGGGCGGGGGGCGCCCCGCTGAGGTTCAGTCCTAAAGGCGGTGTGAAAGGCCCGCTCCCTCCTGAGCTGGAAGGCCCCTGGGAGTGAGGCCAGGGGCTGCTGGTGGCGCCTGAAACTCCATTAGGGCTTGAGAAGTGGCCGCAGAAGTTCGCATTCAGGCGGGAACCCACCGAGCTCCTGCCTGAGTTTGTGTATGTCAGCACCTCCGCATTAGTCCTCAATTAACAGCCCTCCCCTCCCCCCGGCTGACCAGGACCCCGTCTGTGAGGGGCGTGTGAGAAGCGGTTGGAGCTGTGCCCCCAGGCCAGGGTGCGGGGTCGTCCTCTCCCTCCCTGCACTGAGTGGTCTTGGCTTCTGGTGGTTTCCTTTCTTCCCTTCCCATGGTGATGAAGAATTCGAATGAAACGTCAGGTAGCATCTACTTAGTAAGAACGCGGATGTGAGAGTAAATAAGAGAAAAACCAGAAATACGGTCTGTGGGGTTCAGCCACAGTCTTTTGCTCATTAATTAAGCCAGTGGTATTATTAATGGTACTAGTTTAACCAGCGTAATTATCAGTGAAAGCTGCCATTTTTCCAGTAAAACCCACTTGCTCACAGTGAGGCCCGCATTACATGGCCCTCCTGCAGGGAGGGGTGCACACGCTGCAACCGTCCCGCGCCCCCCGCCCCGCGACCTGAAGCGCTGCGTGTGGGTGTGGCATACGGTGCGGTGCCCCCTTTGTGGAGCCAGAAGCCACTGACAGTTGTTTCAGGGTCCCCGTGTGTGTGAGGCACCTGTACGTCGACTCAGGGTCTGGGCCAAGCCGGAGACTGAACAAAAGCCTGGTCGTTTTCTTTGGGTTTGTCCTTTCCCAGTTTCAAGGTGTCGAGCGACTCAGATCACACTTCCGGCTTCTGCAGGCCATCGTCACCAAGGGGGACCACAACGGGCCAGGCCCACGGCAGGCGGGGGTCCCATCATGAACGGGCCCAGGGCCTGATCCCAGCAGTTGCTGTTGCAGCTCCGTGACTGTAGCTCTTGCCATGTGGCGAGAAAGCAACAGGTAAACCATTCTTAGTCCCCCCACGCCCTGACCACTGCGCGCGCCTGTTCAGTTATTTTCCGGAGGCCTGCATCTGGCTGCACAGCCGCAGCGATCCCTCCCGGGGCTGCAGTGACAGCGGCTGATCTGTCTCAGGCTTCCCGGGGGGAACAGGGCTGCCTCCGACGTCAGGGCTCCGAGCGGCCGCGCTGGGCAGGGCTGTGTGTGTCCGGGGTGCTTCTGCGCCCCTGTGGGAAATGCCGGGCGGGCTGTCCCCACGCGCGCCCTGTGCTGCGCCCGCCGCAGAGATGAGTGCCGGGAGCAGCCGCCGCCGCGGGCACTGCTGCTCCCTGTGATTGGCCTTGTGAGCGTGTCTCTTCAGGAACCGGACCTGAACGTGGTCCTGCGTCAGTGTGGCCGGCGCCCAGGGTGCGTGCGGGGAAAGCTCCCCAGGTCGAGTCTGCTGTTTCCCGCCAGCTGCCGTGACAGGCTGCCCTCGTCACCCCCTTGGAAGGCAGTTGGGGGTCTGTGTTCTGAAACCCCGGTGCGTGAGCCAGGGCGCCCTCCGCTGCTGGCAGGGCAGCGGGACCGCAGTGTGGCAGGGCTGCAGGCGGAGTGGGGGGCTGTGAGGGGCGCCAGCCCCGCCCCTGCTGCGGGACAGATGCACGTGGCCTCGGCCCGCGGTCCGCGTCTGTAGGAATGCGCCCCTGTGCCCGGTCCGCTGGCTTCGGCCATGGTGTCCTTGGGGTGGTCGGTGGCAGGCAAATGGGCAGAGCCACAGTGCCCGGCCCCGCGTCTGGAAGCAGAGGGCGGAGGCGGGTGGCACGCGGCCTCTGGTCCCCGGGGAGTGGCTTGCAGGGCGCCAGGGCGGCCTGTCTGCCCGGTCGGTCCGCAGCGGTGACAGTGTGCGTGTGCCACAGGTGCCGCTTGGAGACGCAAAGAGCTCATTTCCTGGTTGCCGCGTGGGAGCCCTTCTGTACCGTGTGCGCGGCTGTCCGTGTTTCTCTTTTCCCCGAGGCACGTCTGGGCCTGCCGCTCGCCGCGCCAGTTGCCGCCGGGACATGGAGGTGGTGTGGAAGGGCGCGCGGAGGCCGAGGGCAGGGACGGCTGCCTCCTTCCCAGGGCCGAGCTGGGAGGCAGGAGGGCTCCACCCAGCCTGTCCATGCGCACGGGGACGTGTGGGTCCTCCCTGTGCGTGGAGTCAGTGTGACAGGCACTGAGTGTCAGGCCGCGGCCGCCCACACCTGGGCCTCGCTGCCTTTGTCCTCGCTGCGGTCCGCGCTCCGTCCTGAGTCCCGTGAACTGCTTCCATCCGGTGCGCGGCGCTGAGCCCGGGCTCTGTGAAGACAGACGAATGGGAGTACGATTTCACAGCGGCTTTTCCTTCGTGCCTCTGAGAGTGAGGTCGTCCCTTTTCACCCTGGAGGCCATGTGGGGCTGTTTCCACTGCCCAGGGAAGCCTTGCGTGGCGGGGTCACATGTTAACCCCTGGTGACCTTTATGTAAGCGTGTTAAGTCTCAGGTGAGTTGCAGCCAGTCCCTGAGGGGACGGGGGGCAGTGGCCTCTGACGTAGCCTGAACCGTCACTCGTGTTCTGGAAGCTGAGGGCGTCATCGGTGTTTGTGTTGCCTCTTGACGGACAGTCTCGTTTTCGGCCAGGCGTGCAGTGTTCCGCCCTCCTCATGGGGGAGGCTGTCTTGGATCAAGACGGCCTGGCTACCACCACTGAAGAGGCACAGGTCAGACCGCCGCTGTTGAACCGTCGGTGCCCCTGGGCTACTTTACCGCAGCGACGAGAGGCCACCGGGCACCTGCCCGTGGCCCCAAAGGCGTGTGGACCGGCCTGCCTGACTCTGTGCTCACTAATATTTTCCCCAGTTCTAAGTGAACAACTAGAGTAATTGATTTTTATGGACAAAGAAACTTATGTAGCTGAAAATCCAATTAGCGCATTTTGGAGCAAAGTTATTTTTTAAAATACATAGTAAATAATGTTCATATGCCTCTTATCACCGTGTTGGGAAGAAATGAAAGCGTGAGAGAAAGGGGAGGAAGGTTGTCGTTCTCATCTTTCTCCTCCCGCTCTGAGCCCTGGAGCCAATGACACCGGCGTCAGGGAAGCCGCCGCCGCCCTCTGGGAACGTGACCCACGCCGGCCCATTGCAGGAGTGGTGGTGGGTCCCAGCCTTCGGCCCTTGGGTTGTCTGCTCCTCGTGCCTCACTCTCCACCTTCCACTAGTGCGATACCTTTAGATACGGGGAGTTACTTTGCCAGAAAAAGGAAGAGTGAATTGGTGATGCTTAATGAACGAGCCCAGTGGGTTCGATGCCCAGTCGGAAGAACGGAGCCCTCATCAACGAGGAGGCCCACGGACGCGGCCCTCACCCGTCAGCCCTCGGCGCCCCGGGTGCCTTCGCCGCACAGTCCTCCGGCTGAGAACACGACTTACTGGGACAGTGTGTGGTTTCTGGGGGAGCGTTACCAACTGTCTTTACTCAGAGCAAAGAGGAAACACTAGGTGTATCTTTGTGGCGTCTTAGAGAACAGCCTCACAATGAGGAAAATCACCGCCAGCAGGAAGACGTATCTGATTTCTGTCATGTTGCCCCTGCAGGGTATGTGAGCTTCGAGTTGGTGTCATTCTGAATTTTGTTTTTTTTCCTGACTTTGCAGGTCAGCCCGCGGTCAGAAGACGCATCGAGATTGCTCTTCTGGGTGGCCCCGTTCCTGAGGAGCCATGGAGGCGCCGTTCAGGGCCAGAGGATTAGTCTTGCCTCTCATTTTCTTCCTGTTGGAACTTGCCACCGCCACAGAAATACCACTTTCAGGTAAAGAGGCAGCTTTAGACACCAGCTCTGGAATTTCACCATGGGTGTTGATTCTAAGAAGGGCAGCCCTCCGTCCTCAGTTTACTGGTGCCTTTCGGTTCCGGGCGGCTCACGCCAGGTCTTTGCCGCCCAGGCTGTGGCCCCCTTTGCAGATGAGCTGGGGACTAGGGAGCATTGTGCCACGTGAGATTCTCTGAAATGTGACCCATGGCGTTCCTTTTATATACGCAGGTTTGCTTATTTTAGGGACAGTTATGATTTAGAAATTATTGGTACTCAGCTGATCATGGTAGAAAAGAAATGGAGTGGACTTTGTATTTTCTGTAATGGAAAATGAGTTAGGAAAGATGAGTTAGGAAAATGTTGAATGGCCATTTTTATACCGTACAAGTAAACACATCAGACGGTATCAGCTGCAAATCTAAGTATGTGCTGTGTGAATTTATATCACGAGGTTAGTCAGTGGTTTTATGGAACTACACATCTTAGCACATGCTGGTAGAAAACAAATGCAGATTTTTGGAAAACGTTTAAGTGAGTCTTAATTAAAAGTTCAAAAAACAAAGTGTCTGCAAACACAACGCGTGTAATAGTGCATTAACCGTGCCGTGTAGAAGTCTGGGAAATTTCTCTGTGATATAAGCATGTGGGACTCAGAAGACCTTTGAGAGGCTATTTAGATGTTTTATCCATAAGGTCAAAGCGCCATCACACTGTGCCTCCCGCATGTGGCTTCGAGAGTTGGGTCACTAGAGGCGCCGGCCGTGTATCGGCGTCTCGGCCCGGGGAACGGCCTTCCCGGCCGCCTGAGTTCCCGAGGGTCGGCCTTGGCCTCAGAAAGTGGAGCACACGTTGCAGGTGGGAACACCGAACGGGATGTGTCCTTCTGAAAACTGAGTGCCTGCAAGGAGAAGAGGCTGTCGCTCTGTGAGAGGGGACGCGATGCATTTAAAACCACTTTCTGGGGCCTCCTGGGCTGCCCGGCCTAGAGCCTCACATCGCACGCCCTGGGTGGCCCCGCACGTGCCAACCCCAGGCCAGAGTCCCTTCTCCGCTCCCTGGAGGGCGGCCAGGCCTCCGTCTCCAAGGCCCCTCCTCTTCAGGAGCCCCGCCGAGGTGCAGATCCGGGGGAGACGCTCTGTGAGCATGACAGGCTGAGGTCTGCTGGCTCGCACCCAGGCGTGTGCGCCGCCCAGTTGTAGGGGCGCCGGAAGGAGCGCACAGCAGTTCGCCCGCGGTGGGGTCTTGCGGTTGGAGGCGGTAGTGCCTGGTCAAGAGCCGGGTTCCTGGCGATCCTGGTGGGAGAGGGGTCGATGATGTCCTGTTTCCCCAGCGTGATCCCTGGCCCGCAGGCCCGACCGTGCTCTCTGAGAAGGTCTGCTTCCTCTGCGTCCGCGCGTTGTGTTCATCGGCGGCGAAGGTGGGAAGTTTTGTCTTAATCCGCAGCACTCGATTCAGTCCTGGTTGTCTCGGCTCCTCACGCATTTTCATGCTGTGTCCTTAGACAACACTTGTTATAAAATATTAATGACATGTTTTCAGAACAAGTGAACACTCTGCATTTAGTTCAGCACTCTAGAGCACTCGCTGGCAAACAAAACGAAGGCAGGTATTCAATCTGAATGTCAACGTGTCGGGTGTCTCTGTAATTGGCCTAATTATGGAGAAAGGATTTATAATGTAGAATATATATTCTTATAACACCCAGAGGTTACGAACGCCATTCCCCGAGTAATTAGTTATTGCTGAAGCTTTACAACCTTGGCAAATTTAGGCGAGAATAATGTTCTAATAAACAAGTCGTTCACAAGTCATTAGCTGCTGTCTCGGGGACGCGTGCTATTGTGCTCCGTCCCTCACCATTTATAACTGCAGTAAAATTTAAACGTGTGAATTTGCAGTGAGTGCAAGGCCCACTCTCCTTAGGAAGAGTAGTCGTCAGAAACAAGGTACACGTCAGCGGAGGCACGGGTGTTTCCTGCGTGTTGTTATCTGTTAATGCCTGGTGGATACGGCTTGAACTCAGGTTCACGTCCCTAAGGCAGTAAAACTCAACTGCCAGATTCATTAGGCAAAGGGACGGCAGAGTGAATTGGGAAGTTGGGACTGGCATGAGTTACTGTCCCAGGCCGACCCTCTGTCACATGTGGCCCCTCAGGGTGTCAGAGGGGCGAGCGGGGCGACCACGAGACCAGGCCTTTCACAACAGCCCTCCGTGCAGTTGCGGCTTTCCCACCGTGCAGGCCCTCGCACCGTGTCACAGACGCTGTGGGCGGGACGTCGTGGCCCAGGCACAGATCAGGGCGTCGGCACCCGCTGGGCTGGATAGTTTCAGTGAGGCAAAAGCGAAAACAAACAGGTTTGCTTTCGATTCTCCTTGTTGAAGCCGTGGAACAGTGTTGCCCTGTGTCCACCCTAGAGCGCATTCCCCTCCCGTGCCGTGCGCGGGACCAGGAGGCATTCACAGAGCGGCTGCACGGCGTCACAAAGTGCCACCGTCGCCTCTGGCCCTCCGCCGGGCCCTTCTGGGAGCACCGTCTGGACTTCAAGGACAGCGGACAGGTTGGGGCCACACTAGCAGGGCCTGTGGCGGCTGCCACTCAGCACGGATCTAGGGAGCCCGTCACGTCAAGGTAGACAGAAAACTGACAATACACGTTGTCATTGATTAAATTTGAGTGTTTGAGCAAAATTGAGGATGGTAGCAAACACGTGTTCCCCACTCGGAGCTTCATGGCTTCCGACAGCCAGAGCTTTTCTGATCTGATCAGTGAGATAGTAGCAAACGTGCGTTTGGGGTATCGCGCAACGAATGTGTCAGCGCTGGGGGCCCTAACCCAGTGAACCAGTGCTTTTCCCAAACGGTTCTTGTGTGGTGTTACAAAACCACGCGTGACTGAGAAGGATCCACGGGTGAGACGCTTTCACAGGACAGAGTACGCGAGTGCCGCTGCGATGCCAGAGCCCACGTGGCGGTGGCTGATCCGGGCACTGCCGCAGGGTGGGGCCTGGGCACCGTCCGGCCGTCAGTGGGGCTGCGGACCACCTCCCGCTTTCAAGGACAGATCGGCGTGGGGCTGGACTGTCGTCGTATCTCTAAGCACCGACTCCTGCAGCAGGTTCGAACCAGATGCGTGTGAGAACCCCATCTGCCGTGATGCAGATCTGCAGCGAAGGGGGACTGTGCCCTGTTCTCATTACAGTTGCTGTTTTTGATAAAATACGTGATTTTTTAACATGGAATGGGATTATTTTAATTTCTAACGTGGTAAATACTGTTCTGTGTGACTCCTATGAACAAAGCCACTTTAGAATCGTGTAGAATTTTTAAGAAAGTCAGGTGACCCTGAGACCAGAAGACTACAGCGGCCTGTGCAGCTGGAACCCCTGGTTTTATGGACGCGGCAAGCGAGCGGGCGGGGCGGGTGTGATGTGCCGGCCGTGGGCCCTCCCTGTGACCCACCCCACTCTGCAGGGTGGCCCCTCCACGTCCGTCTCCTAGACTTTCTTCAAGTTGCGTTTCTTAGAACGTATTTGCCAAAGGCAGGTTCCCGCCGAACGGGGGGCGCCTCTTGTGAGCCCAGCCCCCGTGGGGCCTCGAGGGGGCGAGAGCCGTGCTCAGGGCCCTGTGTCCACGGGGCGGCTGCAGGGCCTCGGTGACGGGCCTTCACACGGGTCGTGAGCCGCGCCGCGCTTCCGCGTGGAGCCCAGCCTCGCTCTGCAGCCTCGGCGCACTGCACGCCCGTGCGCATGTGTGTCGTTCCTGCCGGGGGGCCGGGGAGCCGGCCTCGCACCCCAGAAGGCCGTGGGGGACGCAGGGAACTTGGGGAATGGGGAGGAGAACGGCAGGCAGCCTCCGGGAAACCGCTGACTCACGAGGGGGGGTGAGCTAAAAATAGAGGGTGGGGAGGCCGTGTCTTCCCTGGTAATAACTCGTCAGACGGTTCATTACCGTGGATGCAGGTGTCGGTTCGCGGCCGGGCCGCGGCCCTGGCGATGGGCCGGCGCCCGCTGTGAAATGAGATCAGCTTCTGCACCGCGTCAGCGCTGTGCGTCTGCGCCTGGAAACTTGTCACGGTCCCCGACTCGGTGCGGGGGCATCGCCGAGGATGTTTACCCGTGTGTGTGTTACATGGAACAAGAGGAATGAAAATAAAACCCAGTGTCCAATAGTAAGAAAAGTATTAAATGTGATCACATATCAATGGAAAGAAGTCATGTAAAAGTAGTAAGTTTCATATAATGTCTGAGAAAACTATAAAGAAATATGAAAAAAAAGACCTGCCAAAATGAAAGAACTAAGTGATGATGAACAGGTACTTCAACAGAGACGAACTGCCAATAATTTAAAAATAGGTAGTTTAAAGCGGTAATGATACTGCAGTTTTTTTCTGCTTTAAAAAGTGGCCCATCATTACGGGTTTAAATCCTGGGTGCGTGGGCACATGCGGCAACATGAAGTAATGGCCAGGGATTGTGCTCCTTTGAATGAAGTGCACTGTGCAGAGAGGAAGTCAGATTTGTTCCATAGTTTTCACTCTTCTATAGACCTTTTGCCTATCGGTACAGAAAGCATGTTTTTTAAGGTATTTCTGTTAGAGCTGGATTAGCCTCACTCAGTGGTTGAAGACTCTTTTAAATACCTTCTTTTACCATTTAGTTCAACAGGTTCCAACAATCACAAAACAGTCGAAAGTACTGGTTGCCTTTCCCTTTGATGAATATTTTCAAATTGAATGTGAAGCTAAAGGAAATCCGGAACCAAAGTGAGTATTCCTTCACCTGGAACAGTTGTTTGAATGTGTGAAACTTTCTCCTTTTGACTCCAGCCGCAGCGAGCTTGTTGTGGCTGAAGGTTAGGGCCACCAAAGCACGTGGCTGCGTCTGTGCGCGTGCAGTCGGGCTCCGCCCCCATGCCTGTTTGCCAGCTGAAACCGTGTTACCATGCAGTAAACCGCCATGTGCTGGGTCCTCCGCAGCGGCTTCGGCCCTGTGAGAATGCCCGCCTGTCCCTCGCCTTCCAGTGCGCATGGTGCCCGGGGATCAGCAGACGGCTTTCTGCTTCATGAGAGGGTGTGTTCGCTGAGCCAGAAGTTGACGCGTTCATCAACAACGTCCTGTGCACGTTGATCACTACGTGTCTTTGAATGTGACACCTTTGTGGCTCTGAACAGGCCACGACTGGTATTTTTCGAGCCGCCGCAGGACTGCTCAGTCATCAGGTGGCAGGACACTGTCTACGGGTGCGTTACCACCTGGGGTTTTCTGTGACGTAGATACTTGGTGCTGCAGGTCATTATAGGGGCTGACGACGTTATTTCAAAGCACCGTCTGTGTTGGGGAAGGAAGAAGTGTATGCCGAGAAGGGGGGGCGTGGGGGAAATTCTAAAGTTCCAGGCGGCAGACGATGGGCAGTGAAACTCCGTAGTCCTGTCGATGTGCTGACTGTTCTAGATCCGTTAGTGAGGCGTGCGTCCAGGGAGGACGCAGTGTGGGTTCTCCCCGCCGCAGCAGCTCCTGTCTCGCCCTCCCGCCCGTCCAGGCTGCTCCCGCAAAAGGGCTGCGGCCTGCGTGTGCTCACCAGCAGGGGCCGGGTCGCGCTGTCCCCGCCTCCGTCCCCTCGCAGGGTCGGGGAGGGAGGGCAGGGATGCGCTCTTTTATAGGGACCCTGATCCCCTTAACGGGGACCCCGACTCGTGACCTCACCAACTGCCACAGGCCCCGCCCCCTCACACTGTCACACGGACTTTGGGAGACAAACTTTCAGTCTACAGCAGCTTGGGAAGTGTTTTCTACCATATTCTAGCAAGCAAATAAATGTGTGTGTGTGTGTGTGTGTGTGTATTTTTTTTTTTTTTTACCATAAATGTCTTGGTTTTATGTATAAAGGTTTGTGCATCTCTGTATAAATACCTCAGGACGTGTTAAGAGTTTCCCACACCATTAAGCCGAATTTTCATTACAGATTTACGTGGACTAAAGATGAGAAGCCCTTCGACCTCTCCGATCCTCGGGTCATTGTCTCCAACAACTCAGGAACCTTCAGGATCCCAAATGAAGGGCACATAGCTCACTTCCAGGGGAAGTACCGCTGCTTCGCTTCCAACCGGCTGGGGGTCGCTATGTCGGAAGAGATAGAGTTCATCGTTCCCAGTGAGTATCCCGTGGAGGCCGCAGGTTCCGGATGATTCTGTCCAGGGTGAGGCCGGAGCTGCTCTGGGCCCCGGTGAAGCAGCACACCGTGGTTCCAGTGGCTGCCCTGTGCCCCACAATTTGTTGACTGGGGGACTGTCTCCCAGGACTGACGCTCGGAAGTGGCAGCCGGCAGGCGGCGAGGTGGCCGCGCTCCGCTCAGCAGCCTGGTGTCTAATCTGGGGAAACAGCGTCTGGTTCCGCCTCACGGTGAGAACCAAGTCACACGTGGTAGGGTGGGTTCAGCCGGTGGTGCTGCAGTAACAAGCCACCCCCAGCGCCTGCTCATGCAGGGCTGCCCAGTTCAGTCTTCGCAGGGACCACAAGCTACTTCCCTGCCAGGGGCGTCATTTACCCATGGTTATCACGGAAACTAGGCCGTCATCCCCACCACGCTGGGCTCTGTGGCTGGGGCCTCTGATGACCACCTTCCTCAATCTGTCATTTGTCTTCCCGATCTTAAGGGACCCAGAGTCTGGCAATTCTAACCAGAGGCTCGGAGAATAAATTCTTAGGTGTAAAACCATCACCCACTGCTGGGTGGCAGTTTCTTCTCACGGTGCCCTCGACACTGAAGTGCGGCGGCTCGACAAAAGTCGTGGATACTGGGGGAACACTGGGGAAGAGCACCCACATGTCCCAAAAACAAGTCGTGCAGAGCCCGTGTCCTAAACGTGGGGCCGGGGACTTGATTTAAATGACTGCAGAGGAGAGGACACGGATCAGCTAAAATGCACGTGAAGCATGCCTTCCGAGTACACCGGAAGGGCAGAAAAATGTGGATGGCCATCGAGCTGAGGTTTGAGGAAGAAAAAGTAAGAAAGAGAAAATGCAAAGTGAGATAAGCAGAAATTTTAAAAAGTACAAACAACTTCAAATATCTATTACCAATTAAAAATAAAAGCGAATGGACTAAATGCTCCAAATTAATAAAAAGCCATAAACTACTTACAACAGAACACCTTAAATCATAAGGATATAGAATCATTAAACTGAAAGCTAGAAATGACATCCCCGCTAAACGTTACTCCGAATAAAGCAGGGCGGCTATAATAGCGTCAGGCACAGGGACCTTACTTAGCGTCCCTGGGGACAACTTCAAGGCGCGTCCTGATAGTGAAAGGTACGCAGCAAGGCGAGAACTGCAGGGAGAGACAGACGGCTCTGTCATCAAAATGAGAGGTTTCATGACGTCTCATTATGCGGAAGCTGGAGCCGGGGAAGACGTCGGGGCGCCTGGCCGAGGCGCAGGCCCCCCCGACGGCCACAGCGGGGCGCGGCGCCCAAGCCCACGAGGGGCGTCTTCCCGGTGCTCGGTGCCGTCTGAGCCAGCAGGGAACTAGGGCCACAGGCAGTTAGTTTAGGGATGTGTTACAGAGGGAAAGCTAGGAAAGTCTTCGGGGATTACTCTCTCTAAGCACCTCCTGGGTCACAGGAGAAATGGCAGAAGAAACGGATACATTTGGAAGTGACAGTGGCCGAAATTCCGCCTGACACCACCTGCTCGAGCAGCAGGGCGTTCTGAGTGCAGCAGGGGCTTGGCATCCGAAGAACTTTCCTTAGAAAAGAAGAAAGGTGACAGTTAGTGGCGTCAGCCTATTAGGATATGTGGCGTCAAGAGGGAAATGAACGCACTAGTTTAAGAGAAGGATTAACATAGAGAAAGTAAACGGAGAGAACAGTATGGACCCAAAAGATCTGTCCTGCAAAGAGGTGTGGAAGCTTTATAACTGGGAGGTACCCATACTTACTGAAAAACATTTTTAAAAGATCTACATGTATAGGGAAAATACCATTTTGAATGGATTAGAAGACTCAGTAAAGCTGAGATGCCAGTTCTCCATGAATTGATTCACAGAATATTAGAATTAAAAAAATCGCTGTAGGTGGATGAAAGACAACCTGTGAAATGGAAAAGTATTTTGAATATTAGAAAAAGATTAGGACAATATTCATGATACCAAGATAGGGAAGTCTCTTCACCATGCTATTTAAAGGCTCCGTTAAGGAAATCATTAAAGGGACGTTTGACTGAATTTGATTTTTAGACGCTCTTTTCATCAAAAGACCCCAGGAAGAGCGTGTGAAGATAAGCCACAGTGCGGGAAAACTGCCTGCAAATATAACTAAATACAAGAGTATGTGTGTGCAAATAACTTCACAGACCTCTAAGAAAGTGCTGGAGTGGCTCAAGACGGAAGCTTGCCCCTCCGCTGGGAGTCACCCTTAAAAATAGGAAAATAGGCTCAGTTCAGAAACTGATCAGGTGTAACCCACATGCTAAGAGCATTTGATGCCATGATGCTGGGTGACGTTCCAGAGTCTGAGGGCTGGGGTGGGGGCCGGGGGCATGCACCCCCAGGACCCCCACCGCAGGCAGCATCCTGTCTGCGGACAAGGGCTCAGGTCCTCCTTCCCTGAAGACGTGCCAGTCTGTGCCCGGACCTCCGTCTCCTTGTGCCCGCACATGCGCCCGGCCCCCGCGCATGCGCCCTGCACAGGGGCCTTTGTGTCCGTGGTGTTCACTTTAGAAACGTCCTGGGAAGCACGAGTCCTGTTATAGCGGCACGAGTAAGTGAATGGTAGTATGTTCAGATAGACGGCTGTGCGGTGAAAATTGATGAATCTTAGGGGTATGTTGAACATACATATACCGATTTTGTTTATGGAAGCTCAAAAATAGGTAAAAATAAAATACTTAGGAGTATAATTCCATGTGGTAAAATTATAATGAAAAACGAGTGATGGGTAACCAAATAACACTCCAGGCAGTAAGTGTCTCTGATGGAATGAGGAGGAGACAGACGCACCGGACAGGAAGGTCATGGACATAATAGGTTTCGTGTAACGGGCCGTGAGCAAGAGTGTTGGCTGCGTTTCTTCCCTTCCCTCTCTCTGTCGTGTTCACAAAGGGTCCTTTTTGGTGTGTGAAACTAATCAGCATGTGGTGTGCTGCGTTCTCGGAGTCCGGTGTGCTGAGTTCATACGCGGGCGGCTGTGGTACCCTGAAGGGCAGGGGCGTACGCACGGGCATGACCTCGGGCCTGCGTGTGTGGGGTGACATTCAGTAGCAAATGTTAATGAATTCTGGGTCAGAAATTACTGCTCTGAAAATGATGGCTGAGGATCATAAAACTAGATTGATCCATCTATCATCCCTCTCTCCCCCTATTTATCTATGCATCTGTCCATCTGTCTATCATCTATTATCTCTGAAATTAGTTAACTGAAATAAGATGCGAGAGAGAGAGGTTATTAAAAATCTGTTGAAGAAGACATGGCGCTAGGCTGATCCCTAACCTGAATTCTGGCGGTTGCTATGGAGACAGAAAGGCAGAAGCAGCAGCCAGACGTATTGCAGAAAAGGAAATGGCCCATTTTAGTCTACGATTCTGCCATTAAAGAATTTTTGAAAATATTTCTTCTGGCCAAGGAAGCAGACCCAGCAAAGACCCGGACAATGGAAGGGGTTTGCCCGGCCCCTGCGGGCCCTGCGCTGAGAGGGGGCCACGGATCTGAGCCAACGGACGGGCCGCTGCTTCGTCTTCCTGCTGCTGTGAAGAGAGAAAATAAATCAGTTTCTTAGGCATCGTGTTTGGTCCCTCCTGAAATCGCCTCGTCACCTGACCGCCTTCCGGGGTCATTCATATTTTGAGTGGGGCCAGCACGCCGGGTCTCGGGGATCTATAAATCAGAGGCCCCACAGCCTCCACAGCCCGCCTCCTTCACCCGTTTTTCTGGTCTTACAGTCCAGAGATCAAATTCTTTTTCCTGTTAGTAGAAACTTTGTGATTTGAGTTTTATCGTTTGATTCTTTTATTCTGTCCAGTTTTCCTTAGTAACCCGGAGGGTCTGGCGGCCTGGCCTGCGAGGTGCCCACAGCCGCTGAAACCCCTCTGCTGCCCCTGCACACAGCAGCCGCGTACACATGTGTGCAGTTTCTTGCTTTCGACCACATTGCTGTTGTGTTTGCTAGGGAAACGGTCAAAGAGAAGAACAAACAAACAAACGCAATGTACTGTTTCTAAACACGGGAAAAACCGATCAAGTGAGTGGGCCTTCCAGACGCGGCAGGGAGGGCTGGTAAATTATTCAACAAGCCTTGGCGAGGCCCACCTACATGTCTACGTGCCGCTGCTTTTCTGGTAACTGATGGTGCAGCAACGAGCAGGACAGGCACTGGGGGAAGGCAGGCTGCTCCCCCGCCCTCGTTGCCACAGTCCTGCGTGGAGTTCGTACGGCAACACGGACGGTTCTGCCGCGCCCGCTCAGGGCTCCCTGTCCTCGGGGGCCAGCAGACCTAGCGACCTGGCCTCCCTGGGCCGCCCAGCTCAGGCCAAGGTCCTGCCTGAGGGGCTTCGCAAACTGTTTTTGAGGCATCTCTCGGATGCCCCGCGCTTCACCTGGTGGCCCTGTGAGGCCAGCGATGGCTTGTGTCCTGCATCGCGGCGGCCCCAGAGCAGCCTGGGCTGCCCACTGTGCAGGACCGCGCTTTCCAGGAGACCAAGCACCCAGCGGGGTGACTGCTTGCAGCGCCCGGGAGGCGGGGCCCTCGAGAGTCGCGTTATGAGGAGCCGCTGCACCTGAGCTCCCTGTCCCTGGGACAGACGCCCGCCTGGCCCACGGCGGGAGAGCGCGGCGGCCTTGAACCGGCCAGGGCTTCCTTTGACTCGAAGCGGACCCTCGCCTGCTGAGGCGTCACAGCGATTATGCGCCACGCCTTCCTGTGGGTGTTCCCGCGCTTGCTGCCCTGCGTGGCATCAGGCTCGCTCAACGGTTTCAAAGGCAGGGAGACCTAAGGAACCTGACAGACCCACGTCCGTCGCAGCGCCCATCCTCGGACCTTAAATTACTGCAGACACGCGTTCTTCCCTGTTCCCAGATACTAGTTTCATCTGTGGCTGAAAGTTCCGGAGGTTTATAGAACGTGATAAAGACAAATTTTGTTTTTTTAACCACTGAAGCCTTGGAAGCCCGTCGAATCGCACATTTACACGTGCAGCATCGAGACTGTAATTGAGGCTTAACTGTTGCAGGAATGAGTGTCCTTCCTGGGCCGCAGGACTTTCGGGGTCACCAGGTCTCCGGGGCGCCCTGCAGGGGGGCCCTCCAGCCTGGCGCGCAGCTCACCGGTCCACTGGTCACAGGACCTGCTGCGGGAAGCGTGTGTTCCGCGGGGCTGGCAGGCTCGCTTGTTGCTGCCAGGGCTGCTGGCTCTGCACCTTGGAGGCTGCGTTTCCCCTCCTGGGCAGCACCCTGTGCCCTGTGTCTGAGTGTGAACAAGCCGAGTGACCCCCTCCCCCACCCCCAACGCTGGCCTCTGCAGGTTGCACCGCGGGTGTGTGACTGTGGCCGAGCGCAAGAGACGCCCCAGGCCCTGCCTCCGAGTGGGAACTGCGCGTGCCCTGGCGTGGGCAGGGCTCCCAGTGGCTGCTGCTGGGGGCGTGTCCAGACCTGGGAGGAACGTGCCCAGTGCGGTGCGGGGAGGGGTGGGCGGGGTCGGCAGGGACCGCCTCTGACTGCAGCCTGCCCGCAGCGTGGCCAGGAGGCGCGGTAGCTGCCCTGCGCCCGGTGACACTAGGTTTTGAAGGGCTCTTGATTTTAGACAAAAAAAAGCACGTGGCTGCCGGCAGGTGCATCAGCCAGTGTCAGCCAAGCCCCGCTGCCACGAGGCACCATGCAGGGAGACACCAAACGGGAAGGAACACCCGCAATCTGTGGAGCGTAGTGGGGGTCTTTGGTGAGCCCAGGCGGAAGGCTGGGCCACCGTGCCGGGGGCGCTGTGCTCCCTCGTAGTGGACCCTTCCACAGGGTGCCACTCCCCCGCACGGCCCTGCCAGGCGACTCCGTGGTACCCGCCCCCCTCGGGGAGGAAAGGTGCGGACGCTGTGCTCAGGCACAGCGCATTCTGAATGTTCCTCAAGCTGTTGTATAAATACACAAAAAGACGCAGTCCTGGGGGTGGTCGTCACATTCGCTCTGTTGCCGCTGTAAATGCCTGTCCTCCCAGGGGACCTCCCACTGGGAAAGGCACACAAGGCCGGGCCGTCCAGCTCATGTGCCTTCCTGTGCCGAGTCCCTGCTGTTTAGAGCTTCTGGTTGCTGGGAGGGACTCCCGCGCGGGTGGCTCGGGTTGCGCCCGCACGCGGCCACGTTTGGCCTGTCACTCTGGGGGTCCCGTTTTCCCCGCGTGGGCCTCGAATGCGTGTTTTGGTTGGTTATGCTCTGAATGAAATGTTTGCCAGTCATGGTCAGAGGCCTCACCACAAAGCAACAGAACACGGATTTGCCAATAAGAAACCGCAATGTTTAGAGACAAAGGGGCCACGTGTATCACGACTTGGAATGAGCGAATCCCATGGCCGGAGGCTGCCGCTCTGTGCAGAGAAGCGGGTGGCGGCGACTGTGGCCGCACTGGCGCTGCAGTGGCAACGCCTGTCCGCAGTCCCCAGGCGCCCAGTGTCCTTAAACCCACGGGAGGGCACACCCCTTCTGCAGCGGGGAAATGAGAACCGAGGTGGGGAGGGGGTGCTGGACTTAAAAGGCTCTAATTTTTAAAAAGAAGATGCACTGGGATGTTACGTGTGGCACCGAAAGTTAGTTTTAACATAATGTCTTCAAATGGCTTTCTCACGCCAGATGTCCCGAAGTTCCCAAAAGAAAAGATCGAGCCTCTTGAGGTGGAGGAGGGAGACCCCGTGGTGCTGCCCTGCAACCCGCCGACGGGCCTCCCGCCCCTGCACATTTACTGGATGAATATCGGTGAGTGGCACCTGTGTCAGCTCCGTGCGTGTCAGGGGACACACGGGAGCCAAAGACACAATACGGTAGCAGGCGCTCCACGTGGAATCGAACACATTTTCACTGTATCTGCCTGCAGAGTTCTCCAGGTTTTCAACGTACACTTCGGGGTGTGCGTGGAAACACTGGAACACTGATCAGTATATCCCTTCACTGTGTTGCCTCCGAGAAGAGCAGAGGCTACTGATACGGCGTCTAAAGAAAGCACTTCCCGTGTTCCAGCAACTCGCACCGCGCGGGCCTGGGGTCGGCTCAGAGCAGGCACGGCCCGTCTCTGTGGCTGGCTCTGTGTGTCTGTTCAGCAGCGCGTCACCCGCTGCATGCCGAGACCCGCAGGGAAGGTAGCGTTCGCATTTGTGGTCGGTTTTCCAAAGTGTTTAGCTCTTGAGCTGAAACTCGAGCTGCTGGCGAAGGCCGTGTCTGGGATGTGTCTTAGCAGTGTTTCTAAATGTTCTCCCTGGGGCCCATGGGGAAACATGGCGAGATCCATACAGCGCCCTGGGGAGGCACAGGAAGCGACTCTCGGTTGCAGCCAAACATTCAGGCTGCTGTCATCCTGGAACGTTCTAGAAGCTAAATCCAGGAAAGAGAGATTCCTCTCGGACGAAATTCGGGGAGACCCCTTTGAAAGAAATGTGATCCTTAGAAAGGAAAAGTGATCATTAGGCCATTATCTAAATTGGGCCAGTTTTCTTTTAAAAAAAAAACAACAAAAAACAAACACCTTAATTTTTAGAGAGAGGGGAAGGGAGGAAGAAGGGGGGCGCATCAATGTGTGGTTGCCTCTCACGCGCCCCCTACAGGGGACCTGGCCCACAACCCAGACATTTGCCTGGACAGGGAATCAAACTGTCTACCTTTGGTCTGCAGGCTGGTGCTCAGTCCACTGAGCCACATGAGCCAGGGCGGGGTTGGACTGGTTGTCTGGTAAGCCCTGCAGACCCAGAGCAGCCGCGGAGGCCCAGGGGCGCCAGCAGACCCTCGGTTCCTGGGGAAAAGCGGGCTCTGTCCCCCCACCGCCTGGCTGTGTCAGTTTCCTTTTCTTCTTTCTTGCTCACTCACTGCTCCTGTTCTAAGACCAGACTTGAGGGAACTAGGAAAGACACATGTGAAAAACAGTGGAATAATGAAAAAGGAAAGAAACTGTAAAAGGGAAACAAGAAACAATAAAGGACTGTTGCCCCCCCCCCTTTAAAATTTTTACTGATTTTAGAGAGGAAGGAGGAGAGAGAAAAAAACGTCAATTTGTCGTTCCACTTGTGGATGCACTCATTGGTTGAGTCTTGTATGTGCCTTGACTGGGGATCGAACCCGCAACCTTGGCACATGGGGACGATGCTCTAAGGAGCTGAGCTGCCCAGGCCAAGGATGTTGTCCGTTTGACAACAGATGTCTCTTTCCAGAACTGGAGCACATCGAGCAAGATGAAAGAGTGTACATGAGCCAGAAGGGGGACCTGTACTTCGCGAACGTGGAGGAGCAGGACAGCCGGAGTGACTACTGCTGCTTCGCCGCGTTCCCGAAGTTGAGGACCATCGTGCAGAAAATGCCAATGAAGCTGACAGTGAACAGCTGTAAGTGCAAATCGTTCCCTGTTGCGCGTGAATGCTGAGCACACCTGTGCCTGTGACTTTGTTCCGGCTGAAGCCGGTGAGGGCTGGGACGATGTCTTCCACCGCGTCTCGTTCAAGCCCAGAGACGCCACCCAGACTCGAGGCACCGCCCCCGCAGCTCGGCGGCCAGAAAAACCTCAGCGCCCTGCACAGCACAGCGGGTTCCACTCGCTGCCTGCGGTTCCAGTCGCTGCCAGTGGGTGGGATACGTGGCGGTGTTCCAGGGTCCCCCAAGCGAGGCCAGGCTCTGAGCCACAGGGTAGATCAGCAGGCTGAAGATATGGCAGATAGTAACAGTTGAAAATAAAAAGGAGTCATTTTTTTAAAAATATTTTATTTATTTTTAGAGAGGGAAAGTGAAGGAGAGAGAGGGGAAGAGAAGCATCCAGTGTGGTTGCCTCTCATGCGCCCCCTACTGGGGACCCGGCCCACAACCCAGGCCTGTGCCCTGACGGGGAATCGAACCAGCAACCCTTCGGTTCGCAGGCCGGCGCTCGGTCCACTGGGCCACACCAGCTGGGCAGAAGGGGCCGTATCACAATTTCTGCCACATCCGGCTTTTCCGTCTTTCCCAAGCTGACTGAGTTACTTGAATTGCTCCTCCTCCTCCTGGAGTCTGGGCACCCAGGTGGGACGAAGTCCTGAGGGGAGAAAGAACCGCACACGCAGAGGGCGAGATGCTGGGCGCGGGCCGGGCCGGGGGCGGCACTGCGTGCCCTGTCTCCTCGGGTGGTGATGTTCTCATCGTTACACGTGACACGCGACAACCGGGCTTCCCTCTGGCATCCCTGGCAGCGTCAGCTCTTCGCTGGAGGTGACATTTTATCCTCCCCCGGGATCACCTGGGGTAGTTCGGGGTTAAGCTTTGTGTAAATATTTGTTTGAGTGATTCCCCTAGAGACGATGTTCCAGTGAAGCATGGTTAAACCTCATTTTGTGAATTTTCCACACACACACACCAAAAAACAAACAAACCCCAAAACTGTGACCTTTCATTCTTTACTGACATCGCCATCCACCGTTATGTTTGTGAGTTTTTTTCTTCCATTTTTTTATTTCAGTAAAGCCTAACGCCTCGGGCTCACCCACAGGAACTGGTTCCAGGGGTAAGTGGGCCGTGGGTCGAGCGCTGGCGCTGGTGTCCCGCTCCAGCAGCTCCCTGCCGTCTCGGGCTGCGAGCTTCTCCTCTAATACCTGCGAGCTCGTCAAAATACTAACACTCACGTTCGGGCAAATCCCGCGGCCTAGAGACGTCTGTTACGCCACCTTTAACATACGCAAAAGGGGTGACATTTGTAGATGCGCAACTATGTAACTGTATGTTTATGTACAATTAACACATACAGACACGTACATACACATGTAAAACTACATAGTTTTAATGGAGCACTTATTTCAAGTGCCCTCAAAGGTCTCTCATGGTCAGTAGACATCTTGGTGGATAGTTGTCACATACAGAAAGGAAAACATGTGTTTACTACAAAAGTGAAAAGGTCATATCCCCTGCAAGAGTCCTCAGAACACCCTACTCGGAACTGTCCGCTGCCAGCAGCTCTGAGGAAGAACACACATGCAGCATTTTCCGAACTCCTTTGCCTGTGAAACGTGTTCTGTTTTTACCAGAGCTGGAAGTTGCCTGAGCAAACCTGAATGTCGTGTAGTAAGCTGGTTTCCGTGATGGGAGGGACCGCGTACGTGAATGAGGCCGGTGGCCTTTGCGTCATCGGGGCCAGTGGCTTAGCTTCAGCATCTCGTGCACCGGCCGCGGCAGCGGGGCTGGGGGCGGGGACCCGCCTGGGGGAGCCCGGAGCGTATTCGTGGACATCCCCAGCGCTGTTGCCTTGAAGTCCGTAACTCAAATATGTGTGTTTCACGTTTACACACACAAGAGAAGTAGTTCTTTTAATAATCGAGTATATGTAAATATGTTCATACGATATATGTTTACATTAGTATGAACATTTATGTAATTAAGACGCAACATTAGGCACGTGGGTATAATTTAACGACGCTGTTTGTAACAGCGGCCTGAGGCGCACAGAAGAGGAGGCCCGGCCCGCCAGCCCCTCTGCCCGGACGGTGCAAAAGCGAGGGCACGTTCGGAGGGACCCTCAGGCACGGCATGGAGAACGGAGTCTCCTCTCTGGCCATCGTGTTTGGACAGTATCCGCGGGGAAGTGTCCTTAACCCCCAAGGGAGGACGTGCAGCCAGTGAGGCCGCCCGGGGCCCAGAGACTGTTGGCGCCACGCAAGGCGTCTGGAGAGTTCACGGGCGCCCGGTGTCGGCCTTGGGTGTCCTGGGTCCCTGTGTGCAGGGCCTCGGGGGCCGTGGGGTGGCAGGGGCCTCAGCAGGCCGCAGACACGTCCCGCGAAGGACGGACACGCGGCCACCGAGCAGGAGCCATGGGACCAGCGTGGAGGGTGGGCCGTTGCTGACCTCAGTTCCTGAGGGGCTCTCCCCAGGACACTAGTCTCCTGAGCCTGCACTTCTGCACCTGAGGGCGTGGCCCTGACAAGTGACAAGGGTCCTCAGGCTCGGCCCCCACGGGGCTGCCGAGCCCCAGGGACCGCGGGCATCCGTTAGGCGGGCGCGTGTCCGACGTGGGGGGCGAGCCCGCGTCGCTGTCGACAGATGCGCACACAGGCCGGGCGCAGGGTCACGTGTGTTTTTAGAAAGCCTTAGTGACACAGGACTTTAATCCCTAGTTTGAGGAAAACAGGAAATTTTTCTTTTCTGTGTTCAGCCAATTCGATCAAGCAGAGGAAGCCCAGAATGCTGTTGCCGGCCACCGAGAGGGACTCTGAGCATCCCGTCACCGTCCTCAAAGGGGACACGCTGCTGCTGGAGTGCTTTGCCGAAGGCCTGTGAGTGCGGCGGCCGTGCCGAGCGCCCCTGCTCCGCGCGAGGAACGCGACCCGCTCGGGGCCCTGCACGCACCGTCCCCAGTCCTTTCCTCCTCCCCTTTGCACAATGTGTGACCGCACTTGCGGAGGACGGGATCTCCGCTCCGCTCCGCTCCCTGGACTTCAGGGCTGAGCTGCATTACAACTCGCTCACGCTGTCGGCGTGTGACAGCGTCCCTGGAGCTACGCTGCTCGGGTGCTGCCCTCGGGGCCCAAGGCCGGAGCCGCCCGCCCTCCGCGCCGGACCCGGCCTGGGCCCCTCTCCCGGGCGCCTGGTCGCACCCCCGCCTGCTGCCCTTCGTCCACAGGAGGCCCCTCTGTGTACCTCGTGGGGGTTGGCGGAGTGACAGTATCACCGGGACTTGTCCCACCTGAAACAGAAGGGCTCATTTCCAACCCTCCAACCAAAGCCTGAGGAGCCTTCCCTGGGTCCCGGTTTTTTCAAGTTAGATTTATTGGGGTGACGTTGGTTACCAAGACCCTACGGGTCTCAGGGGTACGTTTCCCTGAGAAGGGTGTGTATGCCGCATTGCGTGCCCACCCCACAGTCAGAGTGCGTTCCGTCGCCGTCCCATCCTACCTTGAAATGGCTGCCGTTGTCCAGTGACCGTCACAAGCCCTTGTCACAGGGGCTGCCCTCCGTAACACTTGGCCAAGCAGGGGCCCCTTCGGGCTGAGTCCGCCCGTGCCGGCTGCCCCGTGCCCAGGTCTCCGGGGGGCCCCCGGCCCCTGAGCTCCCTCATCTGACTGCGCGCTAAGGGCTTCTGGCGGCTGGGGCCCAGGCCGCGGCCTGGGGAGTGGGAGCCTACAGGCAACAGCCAGGCCCGACTCGGTGTGTTTTCTGAAAAAGTGGCTTTCAGTCAGAGCCGAGGGGCCGATGTTAATGGTTCCGTGAGCCCGGGCCTTGGGAACGCCTCCTCCCGCCGGCGTGTCTGTCTGAACTCGCCCATAGGCGTCGACGTCCACGCTCGCTGGGGAGCTGTGCCCCGTGCCCAGGCGGGCCTCCGTCTCGGAAGCGCGGTCTCGGTGTGTGAGGCGGTGAAAGTGTCGGGCTGGTGTAAGTCGCTGGTCTGGTGTCCCGCGCACCACGTGTCGGCTCAGTGTCTCCTCGTCCCCGGGGCAGGCGAGGGTGGAGCCACCTCTCCGGCTCCGCACAGGGCACCGGCGCCCCCCTGTCTGTCTGCAGCACCCAGGCCGCCTCCACCGAACCCGCTCCAGCTTGCTCCGCGACCAAGGAGCCGCTCCGTTCGGCCGAGGGGGCCCTGGCGGGCCGTGCCGTCTCTGCGTCCGGGGGCCAGTAGTAGGTGCTCCCCACGGGGTCGGTGATGGCGGAGGCACGGCGCTGTCACAGACATGGGGGCCCTGACGGCCGAGGGGGGTCCGACAGGCTCTGAGAGTCAGAGAGGGGCCTGCCGTCCCCGGAGTGCAGACAGGAATGGGCGGGTCGCGCCGGGACCCTGCTCCCTCCCACTCCCGCTGTTCACAGCCCTGTGTCCACTCCCCTGCCCACGGGGCGGCCCGTCCAGGCGGAAGGGCTAGCGCGGCATTTCCCTCTCCTGTCGGCCTCGTGGGGGTGTGGGCTTAGACGAGGTGCAGCGCCCCTGCCGGAGGGTGCGGGGTGAACCGAGGAAGGAGGGGAACAAAGTCTGGCTGGACAAGGAGCTGAACACGACCTTGAGGTTGGGACATGGTATGCGTTTGTGTGTTAAAATGAGTTAAGCAATACGATCTCTTCAAGTTTTTAACGTTCAGATCCTATCAGTAAATCTTCCTTAAATTAAATAGAAAAGAGAAGAGGAACAATCCTGGCAAGAACGGAGTTGGGCTGGCTTGCAGGAGTGCAGATGGACGTCCCCAGGGAAATGGCACTTCACGAGCACCGATGTTTATAACCAGTTCATTCTCTTCTTCCTAGGGATAGGTTTTAGACAATTAGACTTAATTTTCAAAGTTCAAAGACTGGCCAGGAAAAAAAAACCTTTGCAGAGAGTGGATGCTCGCACCGCCAGGGCGCGGACGCCTATGGAGCCCGGTGTGGCCACGCCGCGGCCCGCGCAGCCTGTGACTTGGCAGGTTGCCGCCCTGGCAGATGGGGTGACAGGCCGGCCGGCCGGAGGCTCGGGTTAAGCACCTGTTAAGTGTGAGCTCAGGGCGCCCGGGGCGAGTACACGTGCCCCCCTCCTCCCCGCCTGCCTGTGCTCGCAGCCCCGTCACTCGAGAGACCGAGAGCTGCGGCTCCGCTCCGAAGGCGACGCGCCTGCGCCCGCAGACGGGGTGGGGGGTGGGGCGGGCAGGCAGAGGGGGCAGGCGGCCGAGGCGCAGGGGTGCAGGCGTCTTCCTCTTCACCTCCAGCCCCTCTTCGCATCAAAGTGCATTATCTCAGCTGTCACCTATCAAAACCACTTGGGACGATTGACTCACACGACCGTAGGTAATTGCTCCGTTATTAACCAACAGCTAATTAGCTTGGCTACCCGCAGCATCCCAAGGACATGCTCTCGGGGAAGGAGGGGGGCCCACCCACTTCTAATGTGGCGCCTGTCACCCCGGTGACCTTACGCAAATGAATTGACGTCTCAGAGTCTCGCGGGAAAATGGTCATAATTCCCATTTTTAGAACCTACTCAGTGTCTCATCACTAGTGATAAGGAAAAGCACGCGGCCGGGGATAAAGGGCAGTCGGTGAAGGGAGCAGGAAGGCGTTTCTTTTGTGCGGTGCCGCCAGCCCAGCTCGGGGGGGCGGGGGGAGGGCGGGGGGACGGCGGACATCCCGCCAATTACAACCGGCCCGCGTGGCCTTCCCGCGACTTTCCTGTTACAAGGCCATCGGGGCCCCGCTGCCTGCTCTTCTGGCTCCAAGTGACCCTCCCCTTGTGGCAAGTGGCTTGTGGCTTGGTTTTCCTGTCTCACTTTTGCTTGTGTGGGGGCAGGTTTCGATTGGGGGATCCAGGGAGGCCGGGCCCCTCCCATGCCCTCCCCTCCCAGCTCCGCCTGGGCCGCCAGCTCCGCAGCCTCCCCTCTGAGCCAGATCCTGGGGAACCGTCTGCAGCGCTAGAGGCCAGGGCCGCCCTCGGCCGGAGGCGGAGGCTCTGCTGCCGTGGCCTCCAGGTTCCTACCGGGAAGAGGGCTGCCGGTTGCGGCCGCTTCCGGTCGCCCGCAGGGAGATTCGCGCCTGTCGCGCGTCGCGCACTGTTTCCGTGTGCGTGTTCCCCCTTCACCAGCCGCTCTCCGTGACACGCACGCACGCATGCACGCACAGGCGGCCGCGCTGGCAGAAGGAAAGGCTGCAGTGGCGGCGGAGGCGGCCGCCGAGGCCTGGTCCGGCCGGCGGCCTCGGTGGTGCGGGCAGGGCCGCGCACGGGACTCGGACGCCGAACACGTGCAGCAGAGCCGCACGGTAGCGGGCGTGTCCCACAAGTTTTTCATGTTTATTTTAAAAACGTGTGGTGTCTGTTGTTTTTCAGACCGACTCCACAGATTGAATGGAAAAAAATGGGTGGAGATCTACCAAAAGGAAGAGAAACCAAAGAAAATTACGGCAAGACGTTGAAGGTAGCGAATGTCTCCTACGAGGACCGAGGACGTTACCGCTGCACGGCCACCAACGTCCTGGGGTCGGCCACCCACGACTTCCACGTCGTCGTAGAAGGTGCGCAGGCGGCTTTCCTCCCCGTAGCAGCAGAGCGGGTCCGAGCGCGGCGCGCCCGCCCCAGGGAGGCGCGCGGTGGGGACGGGCGCGCGCCCTCTGCCGCGCAGGAGAGAGCGGGCGCTGGGACCCCCACGGCAGTCGGGGGCCCGCTGCGTACCCCGCAGACCCCGGAGGAGGGGCAGGCGGCAGGGAAGGGCCTCCCGGGCAGCCTGGCGCACGCGACTCCCGGGACGTGGTCAGACGGCGGTGAAGCCCGGTCACTGCAGCAGCCGGTCCTGAGGAGCCCGGCCGTTGCGCATCCCCGCGGCGCTGCGTCAGGTCAGAGGGCAGCCCGAGGGGGCCGCGCGCCCGTGACACGCCGTTGTTCACGCACAGGCGTGGAGAGGGCGGCCCGCGGAGGTTCCCGTGACCCACCATTTCAGCTGCCGTGGGGGGCGTAGCGGTTTGGCGGCCCGGCGCTGCCCTGGCACGGAGGCAGCCGGGAGCTGGGCCCCGCTCGCCCGCTGCTCTGGCTCCGAGTTGCTGACTCTCAGAATCCGGGCCAGATGGCGGGAGCGCAGCTGCCGGGCTGCATATTTTAACAATCTGGCCGCGGCTTCTCCGCTGTAAGACAAGCTTTCAAAAGAATTGCAAGGGTTGCAAAAAAAAAAAAAAAAAAGGAAAAAAGTCAAGGATGTAAAATCAATTATTCAGTTTGAAATGTTGACTGTAGGACTCTGAAGGAATACAGGTTTCCTGAGCACATTGTCCCTGCTATTCATAAAACAGCTATTACCGCCATTGAGATGCAAATGCTGTTTTTATTAGGAGCAGTTAATCCTTCCCCCTTAATGGGAAAGCGCTGACCAGGCCCTCAGCTGCGGGGCTGCCCTTCCCAAAGGCCCGCGAGGAGCCGCTGGCCCCAAGGAGTCCTGGCCTTTTTTAAGTGTGAAAGCAGCGAAAATATAACCATTACTCATGGGGGCGGGCTGGTCCCTTTCGTTCATTCCGCCTTCTGCCTTCCTGGACCCGCTGCTTTTCCTCCTTTTGTCTCTCGCTTGGAAACCCCACCGGAGCACCAGGGCGGGGGGCGGGGGTGTTGTGGACGCGGAGCATCGAGGCCTTTTTGAGAGCCCAGGCCTGGGCTGCGACGCAAGGTGCTCGCACCCTCTGCGGGGTCCCCCTCCGGTCCCTGACACAGCCCGGCGCTGCGTTTGAGCCCCGGCAGCCTAAATAGGGAGACAGCTGCGCTTTCAAGTCCTGTGACCTTCGGAAGCAGGAGCAGCAGGAGGCTGGCTGGGCGCAACTGTTCTCCCCAGGTTTCGGCAGCGTGAACATGCAGATACAGTGAGATACGTTAAATGTATAAATTAATACACAGCAAGTGTGTATAAATACCTGCGATTAGATTTATCACATACATATCGTATTTATCATGTCAACAGAAGACATGTCCAAATTGGTAAAAATATTTAAGAGTTTATTTGAGCCACACTGAGGACAGCAGCCAGGAAGCAAGATCTAAAACGATGGAGGAGGTGCTCCAGGGAACAGTGGTTTTGCGGCTTATTTTATACATCAGAGTCGGGGGAGGGGGCCGTCAGCAGGGGCGGGGGTTACAGAGATGCCCTGGCGGTAGATCGCGGGGGCAGGAGGAAGCAGAGTGGGGAGCCTCGGAGGCGGGACAGAGTAAAGTGGAGTGGCACAGGCTTTCTTGACCGGGCGGGCACAGGGCGGTGAACGCTGAGCACGCAGACCACGCGCTCGCAGAGGCGGCGCGCGGCGAGGGCTCTGTGGTCTGCGTCCTGGGGGGCTGTGCCAGAGGGGCCGGGAAAGGGGGCGCCCTGGCCTTCTGGGGGCGGCCATCGCAGACGTATCAGGGTGGTAGAGAGGCTCAGCTCAGGTGAGGCCCGGCCTTTGCCAGGGAAGGTGCCAACAGGTCTGAGACGTGGCTGTGCCACGACTCGCTTTTGGTTAGAAAGCTGTCGTTTCAGACCACGCTCCGTGGCTGCCTTGGTCTGCGAGTCGGCAAGGCCGCCAGGCGCCCCCCGAGCTCACTGGGCTTGGCATGCGGCCCCTTTCTGCTCGCAGTTGTGTGCGTCGTGCACGATGCATTGGACCTGTGAGTGAGTGAGTAGGTACCGAAGGTAACAGTGTTACACACACATGAATTTTAAAATTACATCGAAAACATCATAAACATGGCAATAAAATTATGACCACAATCACGCTTGAACTGATTATTTAAAAATAAACCCCAGCCACCAATACAGTAAACTTTTGAGTCATTCAAGATTTCTGAAGTATTGGTGTCATAAAGTATGTGCACATACTTACATATTCATGGTGGTTTTGCCTTTTAAAGGAGGGTTCATGAATTCAAATGTGCTTCAGTCGTTGATAGACTTAAGGCTCATTTTCAAATACCCAATCTACTTCTACAAAATGGCAGTTAAATCCAAGTTTGATAAATGTATAGCCATTTTTATTTGTTTAGAATATATATATTTAATAGGAATCCGTTACTGGAAAATAACCTGTGTGTTGTATTACAGGTACCAAGTTTCCTGTTTTGTTTCCTTTCTAGTGATAAACATCTCTGATTGCTTGTTACATTCTACATGTTCAGAAATTGCATCTCAGTTTTCAGCAGCAGATGATAAATTCATCATATTTTTTAATTTATAAAACTGCCAACATCTTCAGTTTCCTCAGTCACCACATATCCCTGGATAGCGCATAAGTGAATGCGGGTCAGCGATGGTGTTTCTCTCAGAATTTCCTTTTATGGCTGATCCGCTCCCTCTCGGGCCCTCTTTGTCTTTGCGCCAGCAGGCACGTCGGGAGGAGAGGCGCAGGCTCTGGCCCCTTCTGCCCTGCAGGCCCCCCGGGGGCTGCGGCCACCAGCCTGCCCCCGCCGCCCCCGCCGTGACCGCTGTCCGCAGCCCCCGGGGCGGCCTTGAGTGAACAACACGTGCGGCCGGATGCGGTCCCCAGTGACTGGCAGTTAGAGGGCCTCCTTGATCGCGGTCACCTCCTCCCTCCCCAGGCGTGGTCCCTGGCACCTCCGGGGACCAGTCTGCCCCAGAGCACGTCCCTTGCCAGCCTAGGACGGGACGACCGAAGCCTGTGCTCGCTGCGCCTTCATCCCGGGCTCCGCGGCGCGGCGCCCACGCCCATCCCTGGAGACGGGTTTCTGGGGAACGAGAACCTCCGAGACCGCCACTCGGGGGCTTTCAGGCCTGCAGCGCGGCCTTTGTCGCGGCCGACCCCGCGGCGCATCGCGTCCCCGACCCCGGTGTGGCCGTGGGCTCCGAGAGTTTTCTGATCGAAAGATGGTCGTTTCCATGGTCGTGGAACTTTTACTTTCACTCAGATATTTGATAGGTTTTATGAAAAGCCTGAAGAAGTAAAAATACCGTAAAAATGCACACAGCCACGTAAACAAACCCTTCACCTGGGAGAGAGGTACACAGTTTATGAAGTAACTATTGCGCTTCAAACTAAGCATTTACAGGTTATGGACGACGAACACAGGTATTTAACTCGGGATTTACCTGTTAACTCTGCATCCTCTGGAATAAATACAAAAGCACTTCAGCCTGCCGGGCTTTTTGAGCCTTTTTGGTTTTCCTGGCGCGTTTGGAGGCGTTCTCTTCTCATGTGACCCATTTCTCCCTCCTTCACTTTGAAACAGCGGTTAAATGACACTTCTCATTTTGCATATCCACGTACCTCTGAGACTTTCCTTTTTTTTTTAACTAAAATGGAAATTCAAATGTCTTGGGGGAACTAAGACACTTGATGGCACTTCCGCCCTGCAGGGACGGTGCCATTTCCTAAGAAATGAGGCTGTGTGAGCCACCAACACTCTAATCTAAATCGTCCACCCGCTCCTGATACAGTAAGGTCCTCCAGGTGACAAAGCATGACGGCCATGTTTGCACCGAAGAAAAGTGGCCCGTTCTGCACCGAACCCCCGTTAGAATTGCAACGCCGGCGTGCCAGGCCCTCAGAGGTGCAGGTCTTTGAAACAGCCTTTCCCTCCAGTGCTTTGGGGCCGGAAAGGTGCATGTCGCTCTTAGGCTCCCCTCCCCCGCCTGCCTTTTGCAGAAAACTCCAGGAGATGATGCTTCTCAGATTCTTCCCTAGATAAAGAGATCAGCTCTAGAGATAAGTAGTGAACATTTAGCCCCATTTAAAAATGTTTGTAGTAGCAGCATTTTTAAGTCCCCTGCAGCCACTTGGAAATAAGCTGGAGCCAGCAGGAAACACACGCACAGTTTCCCCTTCATTTCCCTTCCGGAGACAGAGGCCTGTGCCACTGGCCAGAGACTGCAGGTGGCTGGTCTGAGTGCGTTGAATGTCCCGTCCGTGCTCCACATCCAAATGCGGACACGCGCACACGCACACCCCGAACCCACTCATACAAATGCCCCCCCCACGCACGGCCTTGCAGGGCGCCTGCCCCATGCTGCCCCGAAGCCCCGCTGGGTCTGCCATCTGCTGGTGCGTCTCAGACGCGCAGGCCTCGACGTTGGCCTGGGCAGCGACTCTGAGGGGCCCGTCTTTGTTCCCAGAGCCCCCGCACTGGACGAAGAAGCCGCAGGGTGGCGTGTACAGCGCGGGGACCAGTGTCATCCTGCTTTGTGAGGCGGAAGGCGAGCCCGAGCCCACCATCCGCTGGCGAGTCAACGGCCTGCCCATGCAAGGTCAGCGCGCCGCCGGCTGTGGGGGCCGTGCAGCGTGGGGCTCCCTGGGGAGGGGGGCTGACCCCTGCTGTGTTGGGGATGGGGAGGAGGGGTCCGGGCCGAGCACAGAGGCGAGGCCAGGCTGCGGGCCACGTCTCCCCCGCACGGACCCCTGTGCCCGTGCGCCACGGCGGCCACGTCAGTGCCCAACACGCGGGCTCTGAGTCCTCGCCTGCGCCATGCCCACAGATGTCTTTGTCCTGATAAAGGCACCAGAGGTATTAAATACCACCCCTTCCAAAGTGTATTCTCAGAGTTGCGCTTGGCTCTGGAGGGAGGTAGGATTATCGCCATAAAGTAGGGAACGAGGCCCGTTTTCTAAGCCCCTCGAGAACGGGATGTGAATCTGTCAGCTACGCCCCTGAAGTGGTCAGACAGCAGACAGATCCCTGTGGAACGGAACGATGCAGGTCCGGAAGGACGGGGGAGGCCCGCGCAGGGACGGCGGCCGGGCGCGCGGGCGGGCGGGGCGGCAGCCGGGCCTGCAGTACCCGCCAGGGGCCCTGGTGCAGAGCGGGGACCCCGCGGGACCGAGAGCCGGGGGGCCTGCCTCCGGGCCCGGGCGTGGAGAGGCAGGGACCCGAGGCGATCGGTGCTTTGGCAGCGAGCACCCGTTGGCAGGGACGCCGGAACTGCGGACGCAGGGAGTCACAGTCGGCGCTAGGCAACGCAGAAGAACCCGATGCAGGGAACCGCGATTCACCCTGAGCTGTCTTAGACTACAAATCCTCTGTGGCACGTTTAATAAACGACGCATAACTATTTTAGGTCCTGTTCTTTTTATTTTTTAACCCAAATTGGCACCCTTCACTCTCCTGCAGAAAGTCCGTTTGCGGGCGGCGTTGTCCTCGCCGGGGAGGTGAGCTTCACGAACCTGCAGCCCAACCACTCGGCCGTGTACCAGTGCGAGGCCTCCAACGCGCACGGCACCATCCTGGCCAACGCCAATGTCGACGTCCTGGGTGAGCGTCCGCGGGCGGTCCGCCCCTGCCGGGGCCTGGGGCGGGGGCCAAGGCCACACTCGGCGGCACGTTGAGCTCCCGACACACAGCACGTGGGGCATCAGAGCCTGTTCGTGTCACGTTCAGGCATCAGACTTGGCACTAAAACTGGGCTTTTTCAAAACGCATTGAATTTGGATGCTCTGCGAACTGGAGATCACAGACTGTAACGCTCCGCACTCTCCTATTCTTATGACATTAGCATGTCTGGACAAAGAACATTTTTTAAAAATATTTTATTTTTATCTATTTATTTGAGAGAGGGGAATGGAGGGAGGAAGGGGGAGAAACATTCCTGTGTGGTTGCCTCTCTCACGCCTCCTATGGGGGACCTGGCCCGCAACCCAGGCCTGTGCCCTGACTGGGAATCGAACCCGCGACCCTTTGGTTTGCAGGCCAGTGCTCAATCCACTGAGCCACACCAGCCAGGGCAGATAAAGAACACTTTAATTTGCACATGGTATCCCTCACAGGGAAGTCTAAAAGTGTCGGTGTGATTTTCAAACAGATATCCGTCCACTGATACGAACCGACGATGGAGAGAGCTACGCCGCCGTGGCGGGGTCCAGTGTGGCCCTGCACTGCGACTTCTTCGCCTCGCCCCAGGCGATGGTGTCCTGGTGAGTCGAGAGCGGTCGGCAGGGGCTCCCGGGCTCCCTCACCTGCCTCCGGCAGGCCGTCTCTTTCCGCCTGCACCCGGCACCTCAGAAAAATGGGGCGGCACGTGCCCTCCCCAGAAGCACCATCCGTACCTGCCGGGCGTGTGCGCGGGGACATTCGGAGACGTTTCTGCCCACGCAGGAAAGCAGAGAGTAGAAGCGATTGTGGAGGCGGGTTTGTGGGTACGCTGCGTTTCTCTCGGGGTGTGTCCAAGGCCGTGCCTCCCTCGTGGTTCAGGCAGCGTTGGTGACGGTCTGAGCCTGCATGCCATCCCCAGCACACGTGGAAAACTCCTCCAGCACGTGCTGTGCTCTGGCCGCGCTGTGCTGATGGTGTGACAGGCCCTGCCGCCTCGTCCTGGGGCCTGGTGCCTGCGCGGCTTCAGGGGGCACGTGTGGTGCTTCATGGGCTCCCCAGTCGTTCCCGCCTCTTGGAGGGGGCGGGTCACTCAAGAGCGGGGTCAGAGCCTGTCTTTCTCTCAAACGTGGGGATGTTGCTCCTCGTGCAGTTTCACTGCATTGGTGCTGATTTTTAAAAATGCCCCGGAGGTGACTGAGGCTCATGAAGGCTGAGTGACTTGCCACAGTGAGGCCGCCGGAGCGTGGCCGCTCTGCACTGCAGCAGACGCCCGGGGCGGTCAGACCTGTCCCGTGTTCCCGGTGGGCGCCCTGCGCAGCATCTCTGTCCCAGCGCGGGGCACGCGCCACGGAAGTCGTTTCTGTGAAAGAAATGGGGTGCGTTGTCTCCCCAGGTGAGCCACCTGGGGGTGGACTCAGCGGCCCGTGTGGGGGCTGGGGCGCAGCAGTGAAGCGCACGGGTCCACCCTCCGCATGGAGGGAGGCAGGCGTGGAGGTGGCAGCGGCAGCTGGCAGGCCTGGGGCTCGGCTGTGCCAGGCTGTCTTTTTGGCCCTTTTGGCCTTTACTTCATAATTAATAAATGATTTAAAAAGCAACACTTCATTAAAATACCGTTGATCTTGATCCCTGAGGCGTGGAAGTCCTGTGGGGGTGGCAGGAGCCTGCCCTGTAAACGTCCAGCTCCGCAGCCTCCCACTGTGACGTGTCCAGGCCGTGGCAGCAAACGCCTGGGGCTGGGTGCATGCAGGGACCGCCGCTTCGGGGCTCGCCAGGTGGGCGGAACCCATGTGCGGGGGCAGGGAGGGCTCCCGGCCTGCGAGGTCTCCGGCCCTGGTCCCCGCAGCACAGCCTGGGGTGCCGAAGGGCCACGGTGGCGCCGAGGCCGACCTTCCCGCATGGCGCCCCCGGCTGCCACTGGCTGAGGGGTCCCCGCCTGGGAGCCGGGACAGACTCGCAGTTCAGCTCTGAGCCCAGAGGCTGACGGGCCTGCTGGCACCGAGGCGCAGGCCCCGGCCCTCTGGGTGCCCTCTGTCGGGGCAGGCGAGCTTGTCCCCTGACCCATTGCAGCATCGCAGAGGGCCGGCCAAGCCCCCGGAGAGGGGCCAGGCTTGTACGACCTCGGCGAGTATCTGGTCCCACGGACCCCTTTGACCGGTGCCCCCCTATCCGCAGGCTGAGGGCGGAGGAGCTGAAGCCCGTTGAAGGTCAGCGGTACCACGTCTATGACAACGGCACCTTGCAGGTCAGCAGAGCCACCGAGGAGGACGCCGGCTCCTACACTTGCTGGGTGGAAAACGCCCGCGGGAAGACGGCGGTCACAGCCACTCTGGACGTCCGGAGTGAGTTCTTCCTGCCTCCCCGGTGCACGAGCTCCCCCGGGTCTGGTCTGTCTGCGTTTTCCCGGATGGCACGCGCTGTGAGCTTGGGCACTCGCTCACGTCCGCCAGGATGTTGGCAGACGCCTGGGCAGCGCTTTGTCCAAAAGGCCCTGGTGCGGGTTCCAGGGCCCGCGGCCGGCCCCGCTGTGACAGGCGCACAGGTGGCTGCACCTGGCGTGACCGCAGCTCCTGGACATGCCCCGTTTCGGTGTTTCTTCAACTGTGTTTTACATCAGTGACCCACTCCGTGCGCAGTTACACGTTAGCGACTCCGTGAGCTGAAGGTGTCGTGAGGAAACTTCCAGAAGTTCAGCTCTGGGAGGCCTGGCAGGGGGGCAGGTGGGCAGGCGGGCTCTGTCCCCTTTCTGCCTCCAAACCAGGCGTGTATCTCCGCTCTGTTCAGAACAATGTCCTGGGACGTCATCAGTAGCCTCTGGGCTTCACTGATGTTTTGATTTTAAAACTGCCCAGAGAACCCTTTCCGGGAAAACACAGAGAAGAGAAGGCTGCTGCACCACGCGTGGGCAGGGTGTGTTTTGGTGACGTGTCGCCGGGCACGTTGTCTGTCACCTGTGCTCACCGACACCTTGACTCTCTCTCTCTCTCTCATCCCCCTCAACACCCCCCTCCCTCCCGCCTTTCATTTTCTTCTTCTCAGATTTGTTACCGTATCTGTTTCTCTGCCCTCAGTTACCCAGCACCTGACCCCTGGACTGTGTTTCTGAAGCACTTAAACACTCCTACGACGTCCACTTTTCCCTGACGTCTTTCTGTACTTCCAAGTGTCACGTACAACCTTTCAAAATGCCCCTTAGAAGTCACAGAGATGACTCCCTTTATGCCTCATAACACCAGCCTGCGTCCAGCGCAGGCAACCCGGCCAGGTTCAGAGTCGGTCGGGGTGAAGCCCGGCCTCCCCGGGCCCCCACGGCCCGGCGCCCCCGCCAGCACGGGCCCCCGGGCGCCGCACGCCGCCGTTTGCCAGGGAGACGGTCAGGGCCAGGGACATCAGGCTGCCCCATGGCCACTCCGTGTGCCAGGGATGTCCCGGGGCCGCAGCCATAGCCCTGGCGGCCGGTCAGGACCAGAGCGGAAGGAGGGGCGGCACAGGACAGGGGTCGAGGGCGTGCGCATGCGTCTCCAGCACACGGGGGTTCAGGCCCCAGCTCAGCCGCTCGCCAGTCGGAAGCTTCGGTGCCATTCTGCCGCTTCGTTTGCCTCGTACTTGCTCCGTGAGGTGGACATTCCGGCGTTCACAGAATCGCTCGAATTATAAAACGTCCCGGCGTGAACGTCTTAGCCAAGATGAGCAAAGTGCTATTAAATGGGTTTCAGGATTAGGAATCGCATGTTTAGCAATTCCCTGAAATTTTGCTCATCTGATCATCTCTACGTTCTGTGCCTGGGCTACCGAGTAGTCCAGGTGTCAGCACTTGCCCTGTTCAGCCAGTTCCCTGAGGAGCAGGCAGACAGTGGCCCCGGGGATGGCACTGGGCAGCGGGGGTGGGCCCCGCCGCTCTAACCAGCACGTGTGTTCGGTAAAAACAGACGCAACGACAGTGGAGGTTTCTCCCAAGAACCCGCGGGTCCCCCGGTCCCACGCCCTCGAGCTGCACTGCGAGAGCCAGTGTGACCGGCACCTGAAGCCAAGCCTGACGCTGTCCTGGAGCAAAGGCGGGGACGCCCTGCAGCCCAGCGGCTCCGAGGACGGCAGGTGGGCCAGCACCGGGGCTGGGGCGGCTGGGAGTGTGTGGACGTTGGGCCCAGACACGGCGGTGACCTGCCTGGTCCTCAGGGGCAGGCAGGCGCGACGTCACTTTCTCCCGCGGGTCGGTCTGGTTTTCCGGGCCGACTTTCCGTACCGGGGGGCCATCCTGTTTGCACGTGAGCAGGCGTCACCCTGGCACCTGAGGCTCCCTTGCTGTGGGGGGCTCAGGGAACTGCGGGGGCAGGGGCGGCTGAGGAGATTGGCCTAGACGGGCCGTTCCTTGAAAGCCTGGGTTCTCAGGATGTGGCCTCGGGCGCGGGGCCGAGGTGCACAAACCATGGCTGTCTCCACAGCCGCCCAGCCCACAGCGTGGCTCCGAGGCCCCTGTCTGCCCCACCCCGCCCCGCTCACCCGCCTGAGGGCAGGCGGCCTCCTCCCTCCGCCCCAGTGCCCACGGAGCTTGTCTCACGGGGGGGACCTGAGCCTGGCGGGCCCGTTCCTGCTGGACCGACGTGGCAGGCTGATAGAGGTGCCCCCGGCCCCCATGCACAGGGCGCAGGGGCAACACAGGCGAGGTCGCGTGGAAGACGGCGGGGTGGGTGGGCGCTGAGCGGCCCCAGCCGCCCTGAGGGGCGCCAGGGAGAGGGCGCACCCCGGCACCCGTGCCGGCGCCGTGCCGGGAAGCTCGCGGGGCCCGTGGCCCTTGCCCGCTCACACCCCCTGAGCGGGTCGGAGTCTGAGCCGTGAGGCAGGGGCGGTTAAATCCCGTCCCTTCGTCCGAGGAGGCGGGCTTTTCAAAGACGGTCAGCGCGTGCCGTGCTCTGGTGGTGCGCAGGAGGGGACGTGAGTGCGTGAGCTGGGAAATGGGTCCGCGCGGGAGCTTCACGTGGTGACGCAGGGGGCCGGCTCCTGGCCGGGGGGCCGGGCAGTGTCTGGCAGACGGTCGGTCGCTGGCCTCGGGATTGCCTGTCATCCAGCGGCAGGACGCTGTTAGGCCGACGGCGGTGCGAAGCGGTTTTCGGCAGTTCAAGCTTCTCCGCAGCTTCAGGTGTTTTACAGGAAAACCCTTCCATTACAGGAGAATTTCTCTCCTCACAAGGACTTATTTATTTCAACTAGATAGCAAACTGCTGTAAGCGTATTGGAGATGTAAAAAACACTTCAGTAGCTGCACTGACAATACATAGGTACGGGAAAAGTTACAACTTGCATATAAAAGCACTTCACATAGCGAACTCAATTTCAAACTGGCAAGAACAGAAGGCGAGAGGAGAGCTCCCTGCGGAAGGTTCACAGGAAGAGGGGCTGGTCTGCCCCCTGGTGCCCAGAGACGCGACACAGCTGATGATGTCTCCTCGCACTGCGGGCCTGGGGGGTGGAGGGTGGGGAGCGGAGAACGGTCGCCACGGGACCCTCGCATCCCGCCGGGGACACGCCGGCCGGCCGTGCCGGGGAGCGGCGCGCTGTCTCTGGGAGGGGCGGCCGCTCTTCAGGTCTGTCGTCGCTGTCGGGAGGTGCAGCGCCCCCTTCAGACACGCCTGCGCACGCGGGCCCGTCACGGAGCCTGGCCTCGCGTGGGGTTGGGTTCGGTCGTGAGAGACGAAACCGCTTCCCCCCTGGCCGTGTGGACACCTGCGTGCCTGAGCGACGTTTCACTCCGGCATTCGGCTGCGCCGTCCCCTCGTGACGTTTGCGTGACGCCAGGGTGATTTTCCTTGGGGCAGACGTGCTTCCGGACGGGCCGCTGCTGCTGTTTGGGCCTCACGCCTTGTCACGCGCTCGGGTTTTCCCTGCAGGGTGGTCATCGACGGGGCTCGGCTGACCATCGCCAGCGTCACGCCCGAGGACCAGGGCGTTTACGCCTGCTCAGCCCGCACGGCTCTCGACAGCGTGGCCGACGAAACGCGCGTGACGGTGCTCGGTAAGCGGCCACACCGGCTGCCGTAACCGCCGGTTTGAGTTCTCCAGTTACGTAGCAGCTTCCCTTTCAGACACCCTCTTCTCCCTTTGAGGGACGTAACAGACAATTTCCTTTCCCTCCTCGGGGACCGGCCCTGCTGGGCACCGTGGGAGGGGGCTGAGCCCTGGGGGCCGTCGAGCTGCCCTTCCGGGGCCCAGAGACTTGGGGCTCAGGAGGGAGATGCCAGTGCAGGGGCGGGGTTGGGGGGGCGCACAGTGGACCCGCCTGGAACTGGAGGTGGAGCCTGAGCCCCAGGCCTCCAGGAGGGCGGGGGGATGTTTAGGCTTCCCCAGGGCGACGCCTCTCGCTTCGTTTGCAAGGGGAAGCCCCGCCTGGGGAGCAGGCGCACCCGACTGCAGGCGGTGGGGGAGCGGCCTGAGGCGACTGTGGGCGAAGCCCTGGGGCCGCCCGCGGGCACCTCCCGCAGCCGGCGGCCGGGGTGGCTCCCAGACTCCGACCTGGCGGCCGGCCTGCGAGGGCAGCGGCAGCACCCAGCCGCCCGGGCTCGGTGGGGCCAGGGAAGCCCCGGCAGCCAGGCAGGGCTCTCTCTGCCGCCGCCCCCCTGGCTGCCTCTCCCAGGAGGAGCTGCTGCCTCCCCCGGTCAGAACCGCAGGGCCCGCTGCCACCCCCAAGTGCCTCGCCCCAGGGGGTGCAGATTCCAGGGGCCTGAGAACGGAGCCGGAGCCGGGGGTGGGGGCTTCCAGCAGGGACAGCCAGAGGACGCCGCCCGGGGTGGGGGGGGACGCGGCCCAGAGAGGGCGAGGCCAGCAGGGGCCTGAGTGAGGGTCTGCGAGCACAGCCACCGCCTGCGTCCCTCACCTTCTGTCTTCTCCCAGACGTTCCGGATCCCCCGGAAAACCTGCGCTTGTCCGAGAGGCAGAACAGGAGTGTGCGGCTGACGTGGGACGCGGGGGACAGCCACAACAGCAACATCACTGGTAGGGGTGGCCTGGGACCCCCGGTGGATCGTCACCCCTCTTAAAACACCCGCCCACTCGTCTCCCGCTGCGTGTCCGTCCCCCGGAGCCGGAAGGCGCTCAGATCGCCCGGTTTTCTTACTCCCCAGAGTACGTCGTGGAATTCGAAGGAGACAAGGAGGTGCCGGGCAGGTGGGCAGTGCTGACCGTGGTCGGCGGGGAGGGGACCTCGGTCCTGCTCCCTCTGGCTCCATACGTGAAGTACCAGTTCCGGGTCATCGCCGTGAACGAGGTGGGCAGGAGCCTCCCGAGCAGGCCCTCCGGCCACCACGAGACGCCACCGGCAGGTGGGTCGTGGGTTTTCCCCGCGGGCTCCTCCCCCTGCGTGCCAGTCGTGCCCGCCGCTGATTGTCTCTGAAAAGAGCAGCTAGAGGGTCTAGGACTCTCAGTTTTTCCCAACACAGAGCTCGAAAAGTTGTGTAAATTAACACACAAAATATTCCAAATTATGCGGCCCCACTAAAAATTACGTATGCACCAGGTCAGAGCATAAATCAGCCGGCAGGGGTGTGAGCATACGTTCTTCTGAGTGATTTTCGGTAGCTGAACAGTGCATTAAAATCAGATACAAAGTAAGTTTTTAAGTTCGGTGTGGAGAGAGAAAGCCAGGGATCCCACCATCTGAAATACAGGTTTGACGCACAGTAGGCACCCTGATAAATTTTCGGTGCATCGAGCATCATGCATTTCATGCATCTAGTGTGTTTTTTGTGTCTCGGTGTCTGTGTCAACTCCCAGGACCCACTTCTTTTGTTCAAATCCCAAGAGCGGCAGCGCTCACACACGCACGTGAGTGGGTGGGCGCCGGCCCTCGGAGCGGCCGTGACGTGGGCTGCTTTCGCAGCTGAAATACGCACGCCAGGCTGCCGCTCCTTTCCTGGCTGAGGAAGAGCAAGTAGAAGCCATAACTGAACCGGGTGCTTGGTGATCGGCATCTTGGCTGAACTCGGTGCTAAACTTCACGTTTAGCCCTTTCCCACAAAATGGATCTGCCCCGGGAAGCCCAGGACACGGTACCTGCCGTTCCCTATTTCTCGTCCTAAGCTTGGCTGCTGATATTAATACCTGATGTTTAATCTCATTAGCTTAGAGGCAGACTTTCACAACATAAATTTCTAATAAGAGTTCTAATAGAACCAGCAAAGCAGGTTTAAGTTAAAACAGGTTTTTTAGAAGTAGGGTTAGGATTTTAAAATTCACATTTAAAATTTAAAGGGCAGGTTTAAACCTGAGACAAAAATAAGCCGCCTGCTCTCTGTGGAGTCACCTGTGGCTTCAGGAACACCTCCTCGCTCCCTTAAACAGACATTTTAAAGCCACGTCGTGTGAGGTGACAGGTATGTGAACTGACCTTGGCGTGGTCGCCATTTTGCCGTGTATACGTGTAAATGTAGGGCATGTGGCCATATCCGTGTATGTACTTACATCGAAGCGTTGCATTGTGCACCTCAGGCTTACACGTGTCCTGAGTCCGTTGTATCTCGATAGCGCTGTCTCCAGTCTTCGTGGGAACCGAGTTTGATGGAAATTAGTAACTACATTGAAGCTACATGAGCATTGTTGAGGGGGTGGCACTGTGATTTGCCCGTGGACCATGCAATGGGAAAGGTAATTTCAGTGCTTGTAATTTTTCAGCTCCCGACAAGAACCCACAGAACATCAGGGTCCAAGCCTCTCAGCCCAAGGAGATGGTTATAAAGTGGGAGGTGTGTATTCCGCGTGTCTTCGTGTCCGTTCTTCCTCTTTCTGTCTGGTTTGTTTGCTAAGTGCAATGATGGAACAGTATTTTCTAAGCAAGAGAGATAGTTGTATATGTTACATTATTACATTTTATAAACATGTCTTGTTTGTGTTAAGGATCACTGCGATTTCAGGGCTGTGAAGTTCAGTTTTATGGTGGTGATTTAGAGGAGATTGTTCGGACTGATTTCACTGTAATGCATTGCCAGGGGCTTCGGGCTCCTGCTCTGTTACAACCCGCGTTCCAAACTCTCCCGCACAAGCCGCGCAGGCACCCGCAGTCTCTCCCTCAGCCTCGGCATGCGGCCCGGGGAAATCACGTGCAGCCAGGCGTGACCCCGCTGAGAGGCGCCGCGGCCAGGCGCCCGGGCGCGTTGCATGTTTATGCTGCGCTCTGAGGGTGCGCTGGGCAGAAGGGCCTCCGCGTCTTGTCTGGGTCAGAATCGGGGACCTGGGGGCGGCTGCCTCGCCTGTCGCCACGCAGGCGGGACTGAAACATGGGCAGCTTTGGACTTGAGACGCTTTCTCCCCTGTGTGGCTGTTAGAAGTTACTGGACAGATGTCCCTTTCTGAATGCGGCGGACACTCTCCATCTGCTTAGGTGATGTGAACTTTTGTGGGTGTCGTTTCTAAATTTCCTGTGATTTTTCAGAACATTTTTCCCTCTGTTACTTGGACAGGTGCCATGAGCAAGTATTTTAACCTACTGGACAGTGGAGCACCATTGAACCAGTCTGATTAACCAGTCCTCCAACACTGAATTTAATTTTACATAAAAACAGGGCACTTCCGGTGCATACACTGATTTATTTCTATGCCTAACTCCAGTGTGGCTTTGGAGAGAATTTAAAGATGTATGTAGAGTTTGGTCTGATTTTTCCCCCTTGTGTATTGGTCTTGGTATTCATGACAGGATCTCATGACCCATGCCTGCAAAATATTTAGTTAATACTTTTATATCAACTCCAGCCTTTTTTTATCATTTCAGTGAAATGAAGTTTTGCAAATTTCAGATTAAAATTTGAGACACGTATTTTAGGTGTTGATCCACAGAAACAATGCATTCGGGAATGTTTAGGTGGTCCTAAGTAGTGGCGACCGCATTGACAGTCACTTCACTCACAGCCTGGAATCAGGCCAGCGACCTCATCGGTTAGAGCCCTCTGCCTCGCCCTCCTTGAGGCTCCGCAGCAGGTGCACTGGGCGCCGGCCCCGCCGCGAGCCCACCATGTGCCACTGTCACCGGCCCTGCGTCCTCGCGGCCCCGCTGGGAGCTGTGGCCGTGCCAGGAATTTGTCTAAAAAATAGCCAGTCTTTTACAAAAAGGGTTAGCAACTCATATGAGCACCAGAAATGCAGTAAATGCCCCTGATTTTTTTTTTTTTTTTTTTTAGCATTAAGCATGAATTAATTAAAAGCACTGTATTGTGTGGTCCTGGGGTTACATGGAGCAGTGAAAGGAAAACATAAACTCCTTGCTTTCCAAGGATGTGTGTTCTGGCCGGGGAGACGTCAGGCAAACACGCTGGAGGTCAAGTGGCGGGCAGTTGGATGACAAGCCCCCAGACAGGAGGAACAGACACGAGCCGGCGCAGGGGGCCGGTCAGTGCGCAGTTACGGACTGAGCGCGCGGTCAGGGAGCACTGTCTGTCTTGTCGCCCGCGTTCTACAGGGTGTGAGTTATCGTCAGAAAGAGTCTCAGTACACGTTAAAGAATGGAAAAGCAACGCATTCCACGGTGGAGCGTGCCGGCAGTGGCCATTTTAGTTAGCGTCGTATGTAGTGAGCCACGTCTCAGCACATATTTTACGTGTTAAAAACGATAATGTCTCTTAAGGCAAAGTAAGAGCCCCCTGCAACACAGGCAGGAAATAGTTACCTCGGGGGATTTTTAGTTGGCACTTTGCTTTGTTTTAAGCATGTGTATGCATATGTTAAATTTGAGCTTCAATAAAATAGCACATTTCTAATCTCTTGGACACCAAAAAAAAAAAAAAGAAAAACACGAAACAGAACGTCCAAACCCGAGTCTGCTCACGGCTGGTGAAGGGAGTGCCCTCGGCGGCCCGGCCCGCGGCCCATCAGCGCTTCCCTCCCTCAAGGAGAGCGGGGCCCGGTGGCGGTCTGCCCGCCTGGACCAGCGCAGTAGCCTGGCTGCGTCCCCAGAGCTCTCTGAAGACGGGCGCAGCGGCGCCGGCTCTTCTCCTTGAAAACTGAACACGGGTGTCCTGCTCGTCGCCCTGTGGGCTTCTCAGGGTGTTTGAATGACGACGTCGTGGGCCCATCGGAGACCCTCGGCCCCACGCGAAGGACCTCTTTCCTGGGGCTCTCAGGGCAGCTCTCCGAGGTGGGGACAGGCTGGCAGCCCTGGCTCCTCCGGCCTCCTGGCAGGGGTGGGGGCCTCCCAGAGAGTCCCCGTGTCCCCTCGGGTTGCAGACGCGAGGGACGCTGGCCCTGTGGACCTGGCCTTCCTCTGAAGTGTCCCCAATGTGGCCTGGTCACTCTCGGGGTTGCCGGGAGCTTTAGCCAGCATAGCTGGTTCCCTGGGCACGGAACATGCGTGAACAGAGTAACGTAGGTGTGCACATGGGCCGCCGCTGGGCCAAGGGACGGGCGGTTGCTGGACGCGGCGCGGAGCCAAGGCCCGGCCTGGTCCCCGGGCGGCGCAGGGCTTTTGGGGAGCGTGTGGCCACAGCCCAGTCAGGCCTGCCCAGTGAGCGCACGCGAGGTGGCCAGGGCTGTGGGGAGCCTCAGGCGTCTGTTTTGCTTTGAGTTTGGTTTGTGTTTTGTTTTTGTTTGTTGTTGTTTTGGTCTGCTAGCTCACATAAGCATTCCCTTTGGAATGAACGTAGACTTGAAGTTATTTTGCTGATATAGCACTAGGTTTTCAACTTAACTCCAACCAGTGCCTCTAGTCAGTACTTAGTAAATCAGATGGAGTCGAGAAGCACTGCAGATTCCGCAGGAGCGGAGTGTGTATAACGTTCCCAATCCGCTCTCTTGGATGGAATTACTGCTGGGGGGAGTGAGCCCTGCCGTCCTGGACTGAAGTCCCATTTTAATGGACTTTACATAACTGATTCCTTTAAATACACATTCCCGTGTTTGCAAAATTAATAGGGTGGTTTACTTCGCATTGATGTTTTGTGAGTTAAAGTATTACTCAATTAAAAATGAGAATAGAAATAACCTATTTTCTGCACTAGAAATTCCACCACTAAATACTCCTCTACAGCAAAAGAAAGTGTGTGTAGGTGGTTGGGCGGGGAGGAGGTTCTTAGAGAATTAGTAACAGAACAGCTGGGGAGCGAGGATGTTATTTTGTTACTGAGAGGAGCTACCTGTTCTGGATACTAACGTACAAACATAGTATTCTCTCAAAGTAGAAATTGGTCGGTTTTTCCCTTGGAAAGAAGGTGCAGGAGGCTGAGGTCAGGGGAGGAGGGGGTTCTGGTGAGAAGCTGGGAGGGCCCCTCACGCCCGGGGTCCGGGGCCACGCCCCCTGGGCTGGAGTTCGAAGGCAGCGTGGGGAGGGCGGGAGGGGACACGGGCTGAACCCTGCGTGGGATTTCTTAGCAGATTCTTTCTCATGAAAAGTTAGACTTGGCCCAAGGACGGCATCCAGGCATAGAAGCCCCGGGTTCTGATGGCGAGGCGAGGGGCGGACTTCCTAGTGTCAGAAGGACGGAAGTGCCCAGCCTGTCCCGAATGGAAGAGGGGACGCAAGCCCCCGCGGGGCGACCCGTCCGTTCAGGCTTCGGGCGCCGCACAGGGTGGGCTGCCGCTGCCCCGGCCCCCGCGAGCGTCTGACGAGCCCTGTGCCCCCGTTCTAGCCCCTGAAGCCCATGGAGCAGAACGGACCGGGCCTGGAGTACCGCGTGGCCTGGCGACCCCAGGGGGCGCCCGCGGAGTGGGAGGAAGAGACCGTCCGAGAGCACAGCCTGCGGGTGATGACGCCGGCGGTCTACGCCCCCTACGACGTGCAGGTGCAGGCCGTGAACCGCCTGGGCGCCGGCCCCGAGCCGCAGTCCGTGACCCTGTACTCGGGAGAGGACTGTAAGTGGTGCCAGCCAGCCCGCGCGGGACAGCGCCCCTTGCGCGGTTGCCTGTCCACCCCTCGGCCCTGTCCAGCTGCTCTGGCGCAAAGCGGGTGGTCTGCAGGCAGCGCAGGCCCCGCCCCAAGGGGGACGGCGGGCGCGGCCGTGTCGGCAGAGTGGCCAGGAAAGCCGCCGAGGGGTCCACTCTTCTTACTTTCCTGGTAAAGCTGTGCCTGTGTTGGAAAACAGAGACCCGCACGCGCCCCTGCAGTTGGCCGAGCGGCGTCGCGTCGTAAGCCTTCCGGCCGCTGTGCCCGCCCTGTCCGAGCCCCCGGCACGCCGCCTCCCCCCACCCCTCGGCCCGGCCTGGCGGAGCCGTGCCTGCGGGGCGGGGCCACACACGTGCACGTGCACACACGCGCTCACACCCTCACCCCTGGGGGCAGCTCTCCTGGTCCTGCGCGCAGCTGACTCCACGGCAGCGCTGCTCTGAGGCGCACCCCCGTGACAGACCAGCTTCTGAAGAGGCTTGGAGGCTGTTGAAAGTGACGGTCCTCTCGCCCCGCAGATCCCGACGCGGCCCCGGTGGTGCACGGGGTGGACGTCCTGAACAGCACGCTGGTCAGAGTCACCTGGTCCTCCGTGCCCAAGGACAGAGTCCACGGGCGGCTGAAAGGATACCAGGTCTGCCCCCAGCCCCCTTCTCACGTGACGGTGCCTCGCCGAGCGAGGGCTCCCCCCGGGCCGGGGCCGGGTGGCTCGGGGGGCTGGAGCGTTGCCCCAGAGACCGAAAGGCTGCAGGTCTGGTCCCCGGTCAGGGCGCTGCCTGGGCTGCAGGTTCAGTCCCTGGTTGGGGCACATGTGGGAGACGACTGACTGATGATTCTCTCTCACGTCTGTGTTTCTCTCCCTTCCTTCTTTTCTCTGTACAATCAATAAGCATGTTCTCGAGGGAGTAAAAACATAAGAAATTTTAAAATAAAAATTACAAAGACTGCTTCCGGCAGCAGCCACAACGGCCTCCGCCCCGTGGCCGGTGCGGCCAACGCCCCCGTCTTCATTGCAGATCAGCTGGTGGAGGACCAGGAGCCTGCTGGATGGGAGGCCGCAGCCCAGAGAGGTGCGCACGCTGCGGTTCTCGGGGCAGAGGAGCTCCGGCATGCTGCCCTCGCTGGAGGCCTTCAGCGAGTTCCGCCTCACCGTCCTGGCCTACAACGCCAAGGGTGCCGGGCCCGAGAGCGAGCCCTTCACGTTCCAGACGCCGGAAGGAGGTGAGCGGAGGGGCCGAGCGGATGGGGCTGCCTGGGCGGGACGGCGGCGGAGGGGGGCGCGGTGTCTCGGCCTCCGTGAGGCCTCACAGCGGGCGAGGCTTTGGGTTTTGTTTCGGAAACGTCCCCGGTCGGGAGTGTCTGTTCTGGGTCTTGTGTTTCCAGTGCCTGAGCAGCCGGCTTTCCTGAAGGTCGTCAAGGTCGACAGAGATGCCGCCACTTTGGCCTGGGGGCCGCCTGAGAAGCCCAACGGCAACCTGGCTGGCTTCCTGCTGCAGTACCAGACGAGTAGGTAGCGGTGCGAGGCGGCTGTGCCCGTGGCGTGTCCGTGTCGCGTGGAGCATCTGGCTTGCTCTGCGGGAGCCCCGGGACCGCGGCTGGCCCGTCTCCCGTGGGCCCGGCTCAGCGCTCCGGCCGTGGGTGTGGCCAGCCCACTGCCTGTTTTTATGGATGACGTTTTCCCAGAGCACAGCCACGTCCGTTTATTTGTTAGTCCGTAGCTGCTTCTCACTGCAGTGCTTGAGTGGAGTCGTTACCATAGAGACTGCATGGGCCACCAAGGTTGAGAGATTTTCAGTCCAGTCCTTTTCCAAAAGGTTTGCCACAGTCTGTTTTAGTAGAAGCCATACGCCCAGAGACACCAGAACGCGTATTTAATATTTATTGGTGAGAGAGTGTGAGCTCCTAACCGGTCCAGGGCTAGGCGACGTGTTCCTTCCTGCTGGGCTCAGTTTCCCCATGTGTGACGACGGTGTCGGCCCATGGGGTCAGCCAGCGGGTCGGCCGCTGCGAAGGCTCCGGTGCACGGCACAGCGCAGGCTTAAAGCAGCGCGGACACAGGCCGCACAGCCCGAGTGATGGGGGCTGAGCGGGAGGCCTTGTTCTCTGTCTCTTCAGTAAACGGCACGGATGAGATCGGGGAGCTGAGCGACATCAACGTCACGGCGCCGGCCCAGCCCAGCTGGCGTCTGTCGGGCCTCAGCGCCAACACCAAGTACAAGTTCTACGTGCGGGCGTGCACGGCCCAGGGCTGTGGGAAGGCTGTCACGGAGGAGGCTGCGACGCCGGGGCAAGGCCGTAAGTCGGGCGCCACGGGGGGGCGTGGTGGCCGCTCTGAGGGCCGGGTGGCCTTGGTCCACTCGGCTGTCTGTTTCCCACTGGCACGGACACCAAGTCTGTTTATCCTGTTGGTGACGTTCACGTGGATTCAGTTTGTGCATTTGCACACAACAGCAACCCCAAGATGTCTCTGCGTATACAGTCAGGAACCACAATTTACTTAATTAAAATAGGGGACATCAGATCGTGAAGTTATTCATAAGGTTAGAGGAGTATGTTTTCCTTTTTGAAACGATTCCACATGAAAAAACAATGTTCTCTTGCCCTGGTGGACAGTTCGCAACCAGGACTCATGTATCAATTTTGATTTACTGTTCAGCAGTTGGCGCCAAATACCTAACTTGAAAATGGCTAACAAATCTGGTCTCATCTGCACAATTTTTCTAATTTAATTGCACTTTTTTCCCAACTCAGAACCCTTTTCCGCCCCATGTTTTTTCTCCCTCTGTGATGATAGTGGTGTTTTCCTAAGCTTTCCCTAGTACCAGAGGCCGTCGGGAGAGAAGGAAGAAGGTAGAGCGAGAAAGGAAACTGCCTCCGAGGGAAAAGGGGGCCGTGTGGGAGGTCCCGCCGGTTGGGCCCGGAGGGTGTCGGCGGAGGGGGTGGCCGTGGTGGGGCTGCACTCGGACCAGGCGAGTCCCGACGTTTCCCGATGGTTTTCTGCTTGTCACCCTCTGGCTTCCACGTTCCTCTGTCTCAGAGGGAAAGCCTGAGTTGATCAGAAACATCCTTCGTGTGTCATTTACTGGTTTGATGAAACACTTGCTTCGCTCTAATTTTCAAAGGCTTGTGCTACTTACTGTCCTGTTAACGTCTCTCTGGCTCAAAGTCTGACCTCGCCGCCTGCCTTTGCCGGGGTGTCTGGTCGCCGCGGCTTCGCTCGGCCAGCGCAGTGGGCCGTCCCTGCGGGCCCGGCTGCTCCGGGCCCCATGCACCGAGCTCGCATTCTGACACTTGACATGCAGCGCGGTCCCCGCTGAAGACAGGCCTTAGTCCCGAGTTCTCACAACATGTGCAGTGTAGTTTACTTCAGTTTAAATTAGTATTTTCTGGTTTTCATTTATTCTTTTGAGTTGATTCTTAACAAAATACCTAACAAAGTACTTTAAATATTTTGTTGCAAGAACATAAGTGTATCTTTTAATTACACTGGACTCACATTTTTATCTGCAACTATGAGTTTTTACAATGCATATACTGGGACGTCCGTGTTTTTTTTGGAAAGCGTGAGTCTCTCAGAACCCTTGCCCATCCCAGCGCAGTTCCTTCCACGGAATCCGCGCTCAGTGCGGCTCAGCGCCCTGCGGCTTCCCCTCATCTGACGCGCCGCTGTGCTCTGGCGCCGCCCCACCCACCTCCGCGGGGACGAGCCGAGAGAATGGCGCGTGGTCAGGAGCCACTGCTGCCAACCGTAAGCCTCAGTGGTCGTGCCCGGTCTCCCGCTGGGCTTGTGAGAGTCCACGTCCCGCAGGACGACAGCACACGGGGTTCTGGAGCCGCGCTCGGTTCTGAGCCGCCCGCACGGCCGGGGCCGACTACGGCTCCGTCCCGTGAGCCTGCACATGGTCCCAAGGGGATGTGCGTTACGGTCACTGCACTTCCTGAATTTCAAAGTGTTAACAAAGAAACACTGCAGGGCTGACTTCGTGGATAATTCAGGAACCAGTGAGGGAAAATCGCTGCACGCGACCCCCCCGCGCTGCACGCGGCGGCGGCGGCCTCTGCGCTCTAACCGTGTGCGTCCCTCAGGTGAAGGGAGCGGGGAGACCGCCGAAGGAGTCCATGGCACCCGCAAGGTTCGCCCGCTGGCGGCCCTCCCGGAGCCCGGAGCCGAGCCCGTGGTCCGCCTCCTGACTAAGACCTGGGTCGATAACAATAGCATTTTTGAAGATGTGATTGAGGCGAGAGGGAGAGGTGAGGAGTGGGTTGGGGGGCAGCCCGAGAGGGTCCCCGTGCCCTGCAGAGCATGCCGTTGTCCCCGCCCTCATGCCGAGGGCAGCGACGTGCAGGCCGTCAGCTGGGGAAAGGCCGTCTCGGTTTGTCCGGCACAGCGGCTCTGCAGCCCCAGGTGAAAACGCCCACCAGGGCCCTGCCTCCCTTACTGCTTCTCGCGCAACAGGTGCCTGCCAGCGCCTCCTGCTTATTAACGCCTGTCAGTAACAAAAGCTAAAACGCAAAGCCAAGCAAACCAGGAATTGCCAGGCGGCTTCTGCTTGCGCTTCCGCTGTGTGTGCTGAGCCTGGCCGCCTGCCCTGTCCTCTCTGGTCTCTGTCCTCGGGCCCAGATGCGGCCGGAGAGGCCCTGTCCCAGTCAAGGGTGAACGCTGCGCGGGCTCTCCTTCCCGCCCTGGGCCACCTCCCTCCAGGGTTGCTCAAAGGAAAAACAAAGTCGGTGCTGTTGTGCGTGTTTGCAGAGGACGGTGAGTTTTCCGCAAGGCCCGTGGCTCTGTGGCGCTCAGGGTGTGCCTTCTGTGTGGCAGAGCACGCGGGCCTGTCCGGGGACATCGCCGCGCAGGGCTGGTTCATCGGGCTGATGTGCGCCGTCGCCGCCCTGACGCTCGTGCTGCTCGTCGTCTGCTTCGTGAGGCGCAACCGCGGCGGGAAGTACTCAGGTAGCGTCCGGCTTACGTTTGCTGGGGTGACGCGACCCCCGGGAACAGCCCGGGGGTCCTCGGGTGGGTGGGCACGTAAAGATGTATGCGTACGAGGGGGACCCCAGAACGGGATCTCTTTATAAACGGTTGTGTATTTATTCTCACGGGTTTAAACTTCGGTCTCCTTCCAAGCCCCCCCCACTTGACGCGATACGCCTTTCGAGATGGTTTGGTGTGTTTTGCACGGCTCAGAACAGTGTTCGAACTCCCTGATTTTGATGCCTTTTAATGCTTCTCCTGTTTTTTGAGTCACCTCTTCCACATCAGCAAAACGTTTCCTTTTGGGGACGTCTTTCATCTGAGGAAACAAAAAAAAGGTCACTGGGCGAGATCAGGTGAACAGGGAGGGTGGGGTGGGAGGTTGTACCGTTTTTGGTCAGAAACGGCTAAACACTCAGCGTGGAGTAGGCAGGCGCGCTTGTGAGTCACCCCTCATGAGATAGGCAAAGCCGTTGGAAGAGTCTTCAAAAAAATTCACAAGGCCGAATGCAGCCTCTCGCAACAACGCCAGCTGGTGCGCTGATACAGATGGGCTCCTCGAATAGTCACCCAGCTGGGGAAGCCTGGACTAAAAGGGGCCCACCCTCCAGAAGGTAATTCTCTTTTGGGGTCCCACCTCCGTGTGCAGTGGAACACAGCCTGGCCAGTGTGAATAAATCTGAGTGCGCTATGCCAAGTGAAATCCAAAAAGGGCAAGAACCACATGCATTCACTCCGAGGTGAGGTGGAAAACAAAGGGCACCAAATGAACAGCGTTGTTTTTCATACGATTTTCAGTTTATTAGCTCTTTCCAGGAGGCACTGTTCAGAGACACCTCTCCTCCCATGGCGCGTTTCAGCCAGGCCCGCGTCCGCCCTGTGGGCGCACAGTGCGCTAAGCGGACCGGCCCCGCCTGCGCGGCCAGGCCAGGGAAGCGCTGCCTGCGGCCGGTTCTCGTCTCTGGTCTCCAGCACCTACAGCGGCCTCTCCCTGGTGCTTGTGAGCCACCGGAGGCGTTGAGGAGACTCGCCGCTCAGTCACACATGCCTGTTTTGGTGCCCTGGGAGGAGAAGAGAGGACGCCTCTTGCCATGTTCACAATCCAGGAGCTTTTTGCAGACGTGAAGTCCAGTGGTCCTGGCCGCTGTCAGTGGAGTCAGGGTCAGGCATGGCTGGGCACGTTTCTTACCGCCGGCACATGCTGGGCACACTGCCTTGAGTGAATGGTGCAGGAAGCACACACAGACCCGTCCCAGTTCCTGTAACGGTTGCTTTTACTTCAGCTTCATCTGTTTCCTGGCTTACTGTAGCTCACTTAGATGTGCGCAGTGTGTGTGGGTTGCTGCCTTGTTCCTGAGCGCCCGCGGCGCTTTGCAGGGGCCGGAGGAGGTGGGGCCCGCTGCTCAGTCTGCCGACGTTCGGCTTCGCGGGGATGCGTGGCTCACGACTCCTCCGGTGACCACTGGCAGCCCATTATGGATATCCAACAAGCAAACGAGCTTAACGTCTTAAAGTTTAGTAAACTTACATGGGAAGTGTAGGCAGTACACATCTCGTCCTTCCCTGCAAAGACCGAGTTGTTACATGTGGATTCTCAAGGGCCGCCTTGGGGCGATGGACTGGAAGCTTCATGAGACCTAGCATTCCCCTTGGGGGCTCGTCCCTGTCGCTGGGAAGCGTGGCCCCTCTGCGTCTCAAAGCAGCTGCTTCCCGCGATGCCCTGGAAGGCGACAGAGGCCGCACCCCATGTTGTGGGGCTGCAGGGAGGGGACCTTCCGTTCGCGTTTCCTGGCAGGAAAGGCGAGACCCCCGCTGTGCCCCGCTGTCTGGAAAAACCACCGCAACACGTCACTCTTGACCGTGGTTGACTTCTGTTCCCTTTAGTTCAGTGACTCAGCTCTGATGTGAGCCCCAGACACCTTCAAAGAGGGCGGGAGAGGCACGGGGGTGTGGAGGGGCCACTGCGAAGCCGGGCTCGCGGGCGCCCCATGCAGCCCACGGATTGTAGAGCGAACAGCACGCGAGAGCCTGCCGTGCGCCCGAGCCCAGATCCCGAAGGGGGGCCCAAAAAGCCCTTTCTTCTGTGAGACGTATCCGACGGGCGCCAGGCTGGTCCGCAGCGACCCCTGACTCGTGGTACCGGGAAGCGCGTGCGGGGCCCGCCGTCCTCGCTGAGGACCCAGCGCCACGGCCGACGTGTCTTTTAAGTCACATGTGGCGTCCTCTCTCTTCTTCAGTGAAAGAGAAGGAAGACCTGCACCCAGATCCGGAAGTTCAGTCGGGAAAGGACGAGACCTTCGGTGACTACAGGTAAACGAGCAGCCCCTGAAGAGGGACCAGGGCCCAGGCCCAGGCCACATCGCCCCCCCCACCCCCGCGCCCCAAGGTCAGGCGACACCTTCCTCGTCCTCTTCCCCCACGCCGCCGTGTGCCCGCCGGGAAGGCCCCCCCGGAGCCTGTTGTCCTGAGGGTCTGGGGGAGAGGTTCCCCCACCACAGCCCGGCCGAGCCACAGCCACCGTCTCAGGTTCTGCCGCCAGGATGGCAGCATCCCCTGGCCCTGGGGCGAGCAAGGGTCCCCGTCAGGGCAGCCATGGGCCCACGGCTGCTGGCAGTGTCCAGCCCACCTGGCCCTGGCGAGGACGGTCACGGCAGTGGCAGCCACTGCACAGGAACCGCCTGCGCACTTCCTGGTGGCGGCGAGTCCTGTGTGACGTGAGGGGCAGAGCTGCGGCCAAGTGTCCGCACTGCGGGCGGACCGTTTGGCTCTGCGGCCCAAATGGCTGCCACGTGCTGGTCTTGTGCTAGTTACAGGTCTCCCCGAGTCTCCCTTTTTCCAGTTTTACAACGTTCAATTTGGCACACAACTTGCAGTGTGATAGTTGTTGGTACCTAAAAAAAAACAAAACCCTGATCAGGAATTTAGAAGGCTGCGCCGTGTTACAGATGTGTCACTCACTCAGAGTCGCTTGGTTTTTGAAGAGTAAAACCCAAACCATAAATACAGGATGCACATAGTGTTTGTGTTCTGAAAATGCCAGCCGTTCTTTTTATTTAACAAACCTGAGTTTATAAAACTGTATTAAAGGAACTTCTTTGGTTACAAGCAGCAGAATTTGATTGAGTAACTGCAACAGCGGTGATAATTGTGGAGGGATTAGCACCCCGGAGCCCGAGGGCCAGGGCAGGCGTGGGCACAGGCAGCCGCAGGCGAGCCCGCGGAGCGGGGGGGGCGGGGCGGCGCTGCGAGTCGCGGGAGGCAGCTCCCGGTCCCTCAGGGACGCCGCTCGGTCACGGCTTTGGGCACGTGTGTTGGTGGGAGCGTCCCTGAGGGCTGGCTCGCCGGTCTTCGACGTTGCCGGAGGCGTCCGGACGCGCTGAGGCTTCTTAGTCCTCCTGCTTGAGCCTCACTGCCTGGGACGGCTCAGGGGCTGAGATTGTGCTGAACGGTTCTCTTGTCTTCTAGCGACAGTGACGAGAAGCCGCTCAGAGGGAGCCCCCGGTCCCTGCAGCGGGACGCGCAGGCCACGGAGAGCGCGGACAGCTTGGTCCAGTACGGGGATGGGGACCACGGCCTGTTCAGCGAGGACGGCTCGTTCATCGGCGCCTATGCCGGCGGCAAGGAGAAGGGCCCTGCGGAGAGCGACAGTGGCTCCGCAGCCACGTGCCCGCTGCGGGCATGACGCGCCCTCTGGGGCGCCCTGGTCCCGGCCACCGGGCCGCCTGCGCTCGGGGACAGAGGTGCGCTGCCGGGGAGCCGGCCGGGGCTCAGCATCCTGCGACCCGTGGGGGAGAGCGGCGCCGCCTGGGAAAATAAAGGACCCAGCGCTGCGGGCCTGTGCGTCTTCGTTCGCTTTCTTCCCGGTGCCGACGATGCAGAGGAAATGAACCCTGCGTTCAGATCCACCGCCCAAACCCAAAGGGTCTGCGCGTGTTCCCCGTGTCCGCAGGGATGTGGGGACGCGCAGGGTCGCTGGGAACTGCTGAGTAGAGGGCAGGCGGTAAGCGGACCGGCTATTTAAGTGTGAAGAGGAATGTGAATGTCTTACTAAAATACCTTGTTGAGTATGTACAGCCAAAATCTACTATTTAAGGCTTGCCAGCGTCTTAGGTGAGCAGCTGGTATTTACTGAGCTCTGACCGTTGGCCCGGAGGCGGCCGTGCTTGGACGGCGGTCTCGCTGCTTCTCCAGTCTCAGCGTGAGTTGTCCTTTCCGTCAGTGGCGGCGTCTGCACGCGTCTGGTTGGTCCTCCCCTTGGACCGGATGCGGCTGTGGTCACAGGGGCCGTCTCACGGGAGCGCGGCTGAGTCCTCCTGCTGCCGCGGGGCCCTGAGCGGACCCGCCGCACCCTGTCTGCACCGACCGCCCTCTCCTTCCCGTGTGCCGTGAGCGCATGCCTGCTCTGGGAGCACACTGCACACAGAATGCCACCGCCTGCACGGTGGGAAGCCGAGGTGGCTTCTGTGGAGGCCGGAAGGAGAGTGGGAACAGGCCCGTCTGTCCATCTGTCCAGGACGGCCGGCGGGAGATGCCACTTGGCTTCCTTCTGGAGCCGTAGCCTGAAACATGAGGCCACAACGGGAGACTTTGTCTAAAACGCTTGGATTCTGTCCTTACGCTGCTTTTTCCAACCGTCTTAAAGTAAGATACCATATAAATATGGAGGGGGGTGTTTTTATAGTTTCCAAAATAAGTTTTGTTGTTGAGTGCGCACCTACCCAGCCGCCCAATGACTTGCGGTGGAGAGTCGGACGTGTGTTCACCTCCGTCACGTTTCTGCACCTTCGGGGGTGGCGGGGGCTGTTTTTCTCTCTCCTCCTCTAGCAACGTCAGTGTGAGTTCAGGGCGCGTGTTTCTTGGCGTGTGGGCCACCTGTCCTTCTGAAACTGTACGTGAAAGCGCTTTAGAAATAGTGTGAAGGGTCCTGCATGCTCGTCAGTAAAACTCAGTGTTCGCCTTCTCCGTTTGTGGAAACCTGTGGTAACCGCACCACGAACCCCCCGGTTGGGCTCCAGGGAAACTGACTCGCGGGTTTTACTCCCCTTTACGAACCGTGGCCGTGGGCACAGCGCCCTAAATCCCTGACCTGGGTTCCCGCAGCCCACTCTCTCCTGCGGACCAAAACTGGGGGCGCTCCTCGCAGGCTGTGCCGCGGTCCTGCGGGCTGTCGGTCAGACCTTGCGCGCCCCTGAGCCCATCCCCATCTGGCGTCCGAGGCTCCTCAGGGGCCACCGCACGGGCCCCCCGCTGGGGAGGGTGCTCTGGGCCTCCGAGAAGGCGCAGTTGAGCCTGGGAGCCTCGTTCTGCGGTGGTTGTAGCTCCTGCTCTGTGCCCTCAGCCAGACGCGGATGTGACGGGGACCATGCAAACTGGGAACAATCTCGAAGCAGTGGGAGCAGGCGGATTATACATTTAACACAAGTGGAGAGATGCTCCCTTCCTCTGAACCTCGGAGCTCCTTCAGTGGCCTGGGTGGCGGGGACACCCCTGCTCCCGTGTTCTGAGCGCCCCAAACTCGTGGGCGTGGAAAGCGACACTACGTCCCGCCTGCCCTTTGCCCCTGTGGCCCGTGCTCTGTGCGCTTGGCTCCCTGGGGACCTTGGGCACGGAAGGGCCAGACCTCGGCCAACCTCCCTGGCTCGTGGCCAGTGCCGTTGGAACGCAGTGGGTTGCGTGCGCTGCGGGGGGCAGGGATATCTGGGTTCCCCGCTGGTCCCTGCTCTGACTTTGGCCATAAAGCCTTTGGAAAGTGGTGGACCCTCTGGCTTCAAATGGTCTCGACCGGGAAGTGCGAATGAGGGTCTCAGCCCCCTTCTCTCTCTCACAGGGTGTCCTTTTCTATGAAAAACCTGAAAACCGTAAAAGCTAAGATGCCTTTTCACTTCATAAACAAACACAGACTCTTAACGATGCATCAAAAAAGTCACCCCATGCACAGCAGCGCAGTTCCTTCCTGTGAGCACAGAAATATATTTTTATAGAGAAACAAATCTACAGGAAATCTGTTCAATGAGCAGTATGATCGGCACATGCCATCAAAGTGACCAATCAGAAGAAAACCAAGCAGGGTCTTTGCTATACAGAAGTGTTCTTCACTGACTTTGCATGTGTTGTTTGTAAGAAAATGTGAATTTGGCGGGTTTATTCTATTCATGTAAAGGCATCTGATATTTTAGATGTGTCCATGTTTATAAAAAAAATGTAAAGCACAATGCGATTGTGCTGCAAGTCTGTCTTTTTTCCTATTTTACATTCATGGAAGAGGCGAACTGAGGCAAAACCAATGGTGAGGGACGTCGGTTTGTTTTTCTGAGCACTGAACACGTAGCTGCCCCCTGAAGCCTTGGCTCTGTCGCACAACGCGAAGGCGGACTCTGGACACCCCCCTGCGTGGGCCCACTCGGCCGGGCCTGCGCGCCCCACGGCGTGCCCGCCACGGGCTCCCAGGGCGAGGTGCGCGGCCTGGTGGCGTCCGGGGAGGTGCCGGGGCGCGGGGCCGGCTTGCCCGGTTGCGCGCGCTCACTGGGTCCGTGTCCCTGTAGAACTTCCTTAAGATGTGTTTTGTGTTGTAGGCGGTGTTTGCGTTATGTCTGGATATGCACGGCTCAAAAATATTTTCATTATACGTGGAATTCGACTTTCCAAATAAAAGTTCAACTTCATGCGCTCGGAAAGCGTCTGTGCCCTTTTCTGTTCAGGTTGAGGAACCAGAGTTCACCTGCCAACCTTATCTCCAAAAAAGGAGGTATTTTGATTTCAACGCCTGTATTTCCAAGACAAAATCAGTATCTACCAAGTGTAATATGCTAATAAAGTCTATACTTAAGGTCAGTGTTAAGGTGAATGTATAACTCTTTGATGGTTTTTCAAACAATGCAAAAATGCCACTTTTCAAGAAAATGTCCGATAACCATACTTTCAAAAAAACAAGCCGCCCGCGGAGCCCCAGGGGAGCCCCCAGCGGGGTGGACGTGCACCCGCGGGAGGGGCCTGGCGCCCAGCTCCAGCCTCCGCGTTACTCCCGCGCCCCCTGCGTCCCCTGCACAGGACGGTCCCAGATCAGAGCCACCCCTGGCAGGCACAGTGGCTGTTTCCGTGACGCGCCTTCTGCAGGTCCCCTCCGTCCGCCTCCTGTCCCCGGGCCCCTGCCCCCACTCCTGGGTCAGGTCCGCGCTCACTGAGGAACCTGCGGCCCGGGCGCCGGCGGCTGCGGCTCTGCTGTGACAGACCCCTGGCCCGGCGCGGCCCAGCCCCGTCCTGCCCCGAGGTCCTTCAGCCTCTGGCTTCTCCCCCAGGGCCCTGGCCTGCGTTCCAGTGCGAGGGCGCTGCCTCAGGGAAGGCTTGCAGGCCGGGGCCGCGGCGTGTGTCCGGGTGTGTCGGGGACACGGGCCTCCTGTCCCTGTCGCCCATCACGGCTGCAGGGTGGTTTTTTGTTTTAAAACTCTCACCCGAGGACATTTTCCCATTGTCGGGAGGGAGGCTTCCCTACGCGCCCTGACCAGGGATCGAACCTGCAACCTGGGAACGTGGCCTGGCTGGGAACTGAACCTGCGGCCCTTCGGCCCAGGGGGTGGCGCTCCAGCCCCCCGAGCCCCCGGCGAGGGCGCGGGGGCAGGGGCACTGCAGCAGCCTCTCCCGCGGGGGCTGTCAGACCGCCATCTTCACTTCTCCCGCGAGCCCGAAGCCCCCTAAGTTCCCGCGGAAAGCCGGTCCCCTAGCAGGGGGCCCCCTGCGACGCGCAGGCAGGGAAGGTTTGTGCAACCGAAGCCGGAGCGTCCCAGGAGGACAGACGCCGGCCAGCGAGTGCCCGGGCCGCAGGCTGGCCCGTCCCTCGTTCCTACGCTGCCTGCCCTCCTCTCGGTTCCAACGCCAAGTGTCCTTCAAACCCGCCCTCCGTCACCACCGCTGCCCTGACACCCGGCCGCCGGCAGCCCTGTCCCCGCTCTCCCGCGGCCGGCTGTCCGGCTCCGTGTGGGGCCCACAAAACGTGCCGGGAGCCCCACGAAGCGCACGTCTGGTTGTGCTCCGTTCGCGATAAATGGCAGCCGCGGCCCCAGCGCCCCACGCCCAGGACCGGCCGGCGCCAGCCCTCCCGCCTGCCCGCCGCCTCCGGGCCGCCCGGCCCCCCTCCCCGAGCCGCGGTGCTGTCCTGCCCCGGGACGTGGGCGGTGACCGTCCGCCCTGCCTGGGAGGCTCTCCCCCCAGACCCCGCGTCACCGGGTAGAGGCCCCGTCCGCAGAGAAGACGGGCCTGAGGCTCAGCTCTAACGGGGCCCGGTTAAATGAATCCTTCCCTGTCTCCACAGCGACCAGTGCCGCGCCGGTTTATACTCTCGCGCGAGTTCCACGAGGACAGCGACAGCATCCCTCCGGCTCGCAGCCCACACCCGGCCAGGCGCAGGCGCAGCGCTGACCCCAGGGGAGGCGGGGCAGGGCGCACGGATGGGGTGCCCGCGGAGGGGGAGCAATGTAACAAATAACAGAAAAAGCGACTCATCTAAACCAGCGGGCCTGAGGGCTGCACCTGGTACAAAACGCACGGATTCACAATGCACTACATTTAACGTGATCTCAGGATACATAAAATAACAAGGCATTGTTTGCACTCCCGAAACCAACATATTATATGCCAGTTATGCCTCAAAAACAACAGCAACAAAACAAAAGAGCATGCTGCCCCTCCCCCCCCCCAAAAAACTGCACAGCCCGCTCATCACAGAAGAAAAACATTTCAAGGCTGATTCCGAGCTCTTTTCCACTTTTGGGGAAGGAAATGGTTTCTCAGGTTTCATAAAACAACTATGCAACTCAGTGATTAACTCGGTAATTCCATTTGTAAGAATCAATACAAATTTTGGGGACGGGGGTCAACTTTAGTAAGTTGCATACAAAGAAATCAACTGCAATACAATATGCATTTTATATATAGTGTGTATATATATTATATATAAATCAGTATTAGATGATTCTGGTTAAACAGTGTGTAATGTATGCTTGTTATTCCTTGGGAGGAGTGTTTACGGTTTATCACAGTAAATTCCTAGGTAGAGTATAGTAATTAACTGTGATTTAAAATGATCTAAAAAGACCCAAGCCTGCCTTTCGCATGAAGTTGACCAGTGGAAGCGTCTTCTAATTGCACCGGTTTAATAGCAGTGTAATTGCAAGGCTCGGCCACTGGGTGGGGGTGTTCCGCAGGGATAACAACCCGCGGGGCGGC